CTCGGTGCAGTCTCTGGTGCACTATTATTATGCGAAAGCAGTCTCGCGACCCTCTGTCTTCTCGTGGAATGAAATTATCAAGTTTGAGCAACGATGGAATCCCAAACAAAATGACGCAAGTATAATACGGGCACGGTAAATATTCGTAGGACAGGCTGACGCAAAAGAGAAGAGAAAAAATTGGAAAATCGCGCTATAAATTCGTACATATATCGGCGATATTGCAGATTCTGCGAAACAAATTTAAATAAACGCGTTTCCATCCCTTCAATTACACTTGGTTCTATTTTATTCACCCTCCTCTCGCAAACACAATCTGAATTTCTTCTGTTTTTTTCCATTACAGCAAGTTCGAAATGAAATTGCAATTCTAACGATTGGAGAGGAGATAAATGTTTCGTACCAAGATTAATTTATCGTTGACGAAAGGGAGAAAAAGAAGAAGGGGGGAAGGAAACGTTACCGTTTTCCGTCTCTCTAATTAAACGCGTTACAATTAACGCCTCTCGGGTTAATAAAAAAAAAAGAGACGAAAGAGGTGAACAATCGACGTCGTACTCGACTCGTACGGTAATTCGAAAGAGCGAAAGTACGAGTAAGTGCGGTGCTCAAACGAGAGTTAATGTTCACCTCAAAGACCATTTCGAGAGAGTAACCGATGCTCTTATTCCTCTATAAATATTGCCCGTAGCTATAATTATCAGGATGTAGACGCATCGTGTACATACATACGTTCAGATTTCAAACGGGTCGTGTCTGGTTGTTTTCTATTTTCCACGCTATTTTTTTTTTCGGTTGAAAAAGCAGAAAACAACAGCGGAGAATTATATTTAAAAAAAAAAATGATCGATTTGTTATAGAATGGGGTTAACTCGAGGTGGCTGACAAAAGTAACGCGGACTAGTAGAATTGGTCGATCGTTGGTCAGACGTGTTCTGTATTGAAACGAGCGGGGAGAATTATCGCAATTGCGATAAGAATTGAATGATCATTTAGGGTGCAGCCGTTCGTGAATGAGTAATATATTACGGAACGGTGAACCGGGGTTAATTATCATTTTCGTCGGGGACAAGCGTCACCGATGCGCGTTTCACGCGAACGCACAATCATCATTTTCCATTATCGCGTAGGGCAACGTCAACCTGTCACTGGCCTCAATTTTCATCTCCGCCCATGGATAACTGTGACTGCAACGATATCCTCGTTTCTCTGTGGAGCAAATACTAGCGATTCAAATGTTCCGTAGCAACGGAGAGAGATCAGCGATAGTTGTAGAGAAAGGACGGTGTTCGATGTTTATTAAAATTCGGAGTTTCAATTTCGCTTCTGTTTAAAGTAGGAGAAAGGAAAGTCGGTTTCTCGGTTCTCGTTTTCGGCAAGAAGCAAGATCTGTGGAGCACGGCTTATTAAATGAAATTAAAACGGAAACGTAGCTCTAAGTAGCTCACACTCTCTCCAAGGCGATTGTCTGCTGAAACGGCACACCGACTCTCGGTATTTGCTCTTAAAGGTAGGTGCATAGAACGCCGAGCACGAAACGTCGTGCATAAAGTGAGACGCTTTCAGAGATGTTGCCGTTCAAACGAGGAGGTAAAAAAGTCACCTGCGTCCTCGCGTCCTCTTTACAACAGGGAGAATAATGCGGGGAAAAGGTGACAGATGCTTGTCTAATTGCCTGCTCGTCGATCAACTTCAGAAAGTGCGCCGACAGGTGAAAATATTTGTTAGGATAGTATCGCTTCGACGAATTGATACAAGACAGATGTTGGGAATGTTCGTTTTGCCGTGACCACGTTAATAGCGTGAATAATTGATACGTGCAGATATGTACGTAGATTGGCAGATTGGAATGCGACATTTCGTTACGCTTTACCACCGCCGACACAATAGCGCCTGGATTTAATTATTGCGTTCGGGTAATCGATAATTTGTACACACGTGTGGAGTCGAAGTTCCGCAAAATTCCTTCGGAACGTGTATCGCAAATTAGCTAGTACCGAATTGCCGCAAAGGATGTTCGAGCGAAGAAATGGATTTTAGCGGGGAACCGATTCTATCGGATGTAACGGGAGCGTAACGACATTGGCCGGACCGTAGAGTAGAGTGACTTTAACCTCGTTAAAGATAACGCGAAAATCAAGTTAAACGAGCCTCGCTATTTACCCCTTCTCACCACCCGACGACACTGTAGGATGCACTTAATTACAGGCCACTCTCCAGATTCAGTCTAGCGCCAATACTGTTTAACGGAATTTTTTGTTTAGCATAATCCGACGACCGAGAAAATATTCGTCGATTATCGCTATCGAGCCGAGAAATATGCGGCGACTTGTGATGAAAAAGAAATACTTGTAGAGAAGGAAGAAAAAGAAGGCTGTTGATTTGGAGGACGAAGAACCTCCGCTCCTCTCCAGACTGCGTTCCAGATTTTCATGACGCATGCAGCGTGATAAAGTACACTTAACTCGGGCTCTTTTTGTTCTCCCGTGGGTATTTCAAGTAACACACAGGAACGGTTTTTCTTTGAATTCTAAAATAACCCACCTAACACGACCCACATAATTGAAATGTAATCCGGGGATAATCGAGACTTGATTCGTGCCACACCTGTGAACTTTTTCCAACGAGAAAAGTGAATCGAATCGAATTCGAATCGTCTATATCTGTCGACGGACGCGTTTTATTTAGATTTCTAGGCAAGAGATCGCGTGCCAAAACGGTGAGGAATAAAGGATCGTGGTGACCGTAACAAGAGGCAAATAAGAGAGAGAGAGAGAGAGAGAGAGAGAGAGAGAGAGAGATCTCGTGTTGAACGCGGTGGCAGCTGAACGGACGATCGAGAGGATTGTAGGCGATCGTGCGAAATAATGTGCCGCTCGTTTGGAAATTTGCCGGATTATCAGTCTCGTTCTCGTCCAGTCGTGATTGTAGAGAGAAGCAAGCGTGGGTCGATTATCGTTAGCTCGAATTAGGCACGGTAGGACTTCCACTCTTTTTAATCGACGCTTGCGACGTATTAACAAACACACCCTGTACATGGAGTAACTGCAGTCAGTTACCAGAGACAGGACACACGTAGTCGAAAAGCGATCGCTCCTAGTTTGAAAGTTACCTCGACACTTTGCCAACGATAAGAAGTTTCCCGAAATTTGCGTAGCGCGCTTGATCGTGCCATTAGTCGATTATATTATTCATGATAGATTAGCTTACACACGGGGGAAGTTACTGTCTACGTATATCCATTACTCACGCTTGTCAGAATTTTCTTGGGTGTTAAAATCGGTAATCCTCGCGCTCGCGTCGCGCTAAGTAAACTTGGACAAAATTTGCACGTGAACCTTTCACATAGCTTGTTTCTTCGTAAATAGAAATTGTTACGAAACGATTGATCAATTTATTCAAAGTGCTGGCAGATAGCAATCGCGATAGTAATTCAACGACGGCTCCCTACACATACACGTGTTTGTGATATCCGACGAAAGTTATTGCCGGACAATCGGTATAATATTGCAGGAATGTAAATAACGTTACTCGTTTTTCCACATTTTGCTCTGGTCGATTGTTTTATTGTTCCTCCACGTACACATATGTATATAGGTTACGCTCGAAATTGTCGGCTGTTAGTTAGGATTGCCGCGGCCGCCCCGCAGTGGGATGATTAAACATCGTGGTCCGCTGCGACGAGCCTCTTTGACATTTAGCGAACACTCGATCAAATATTCCTCGGGATATTCCAGAAAATTTCACCGTCCTGCCTGTCTAAAGTTTCGGCATCATCCGTATTCTTCCCTTCCTCCGACCTCTACTTTTTTCCCCGGGTAAAAAGTTAATTACCTTTAGTTACAGCAGGTTCTACGTAGCTTACTCGAAGCTTCTTAATGAAAGCCTTAGGACGGCCTTAATGTACCACCTATGAGGTACATATGTATATCGCGGATCGCGGACCGCGTCCCACCGTCCGCGATAAAAGTACTAGGATTAAATTGCAAGGTATAGGAAGTAGCTCGAAGCTTTTGATACACTCTGACAAAGGGAATTTGCATAAGGCAAATATCCAGATGAAAAAAGATGAATCACGCATAAATTCGATACTTGGCGCGCGACCACTCGTTTTTAACTTGACCTATATCCAATCAACACCACAATCGTTGTTTTACATCTAACTCTCGCTGAAAATTGTAGTTAAACGTCGATTATCGAAACCAATTGTGATATTTCGCAGCGTGCCCAACCAGATACAGATATATCGATAAGAAGCTAAGAGGAAAGGAATGACGGGTAGATGTAGATAGAGGAAAAGCGGTTTTATTATCGTAGCCATCTGTAAACGGACTTGAAAGCGACTTCTCCCTCATTTTCCAACAGCTAATTGTAAGTAGCTTTACTTAGATTCTCGTTGTCCGTAAATTCCTACTTTACGGCCCACGGAGCCTGGAGAGGAAAGAAGGAAACTGTGCATTTTCCATTTCCTTGGAATTTCCTGTCGCGAGTACCTACTCGGTTAGAGAAAGTTTCCACTGTAACTTCATTACCGAATACATACCGCGAAAGCTCTGTGTGTCTCGGGCACGTGAAATCGATCGGGAAACAATAGCTTACGAAATTTTCCGAGTGTCTTTGAAGATCTTTCGAATAGTAGGTATCTAACGGTTGAAAAGATTTTCGGTGTATCTAGGTATAGACTTGATTTATTCGTCCGTTAGAACTGGCAGAGTGTATAAAAGGATTAAAGTAGGTATATCAAAGCTCGCCGCTTTCATGCATAACTTGTAATTGTTTGATGGCAATCGATTACGAATAAAAAGAGACAAAGCGCGATGATCAATGAAGCTTTTTTTGGAAATTTCCCAATACGAGTAGCACGAATGACTATACTCTCGAATGAAATCGATTGGGTATGCAGGGAGCGCGATGATTTCGTTCAACTCTCGAGTGTTAAAACTACGTTAACAGAGCTAAGGCCATCTCCTTATTAACGATGCTAATCAATTTGTCTGGGCTTACCTGTAGGTAATGAAGGCGAAGACCAGAGCAACGAGGGACAAGCTTCCGCCTAGAACGACGACGAGACTGAGAACGCCGTCCTGATCGAACGAACTAGCGATTCCCGTTGAAATTCCATTAGTCGGTCCACCGTTCGATTGGGAAAACCCGTGGATCGCTCCCGTGTAAAGTGTCTCCATTTCTTCCCTATTCTCGCATCTGCAATCTCACAATTGCACTCTTGTCTCAATTCTGTTACAGTCGCCTTACACTCTAAACATATATCTATCTATTCGGTTCTTAACACTATGTACTACATATATAAACCCCCATGTCCTACCGTTTTATCGCCCTTTTTTTCACCCTTAACCAAATAGAAAATAGCAGGACGAAACTAATGTTCTTTCCCGCCGTGACTTTTCACCGAGAGGAAATAATTGAATTTGCGATGGAGCCTCGCGTATCATGGGAGGGGCAAATTGAAACAGGCCTGGTAATTTCCTGTAAAGGGGTGAATCAAAATGGCGCTCGACACTAGCAGCCGCAAATTGCGGCCTTCCTATGCGAAAGTTACCACTGGTACAGGACAGGACACTTGTACAAGCTAGAGAAGGAAAGAAATGATAAATAAATGTTTGGAATTGAGTAAAAAAATGTTGAAAAAGATTGTTATAGATATTTGTAGATCCGGTATTGGCGCGGATTCAGCACTAGTTAAATGTGGTGACCTTATCGCCTTGGTTTCCAGTTCGATTCACGAGAACGCACATTTACAAAAAACCAATTCTCGATATCTCGATGTTTCGCAATTTTTCTCGAACCCTTAATGGTTTTGCTGATGCCTGAATCGAAATTAAAAGAAGCGAAGTGAAGCGATCGTTTCGAAGGATTTTCGAGTAATACTGGCGGTGACTAACTAAAGAAAAAACGGGCATGTTGAGAAACTTACTTTAAACGAGGGGAGGAATTGTTGATTCGAAGAGAAACGTTGGAAGGATGTGGGGCGGTTCCACGGATCGGTTTACATATTGTTATGGTAGCCACGTGCCCCACTAAACACGTGCTCGTCGAAGGATAAGGATCGCGCGTGCCCTTTGGACCGATTTGTTGCGTATTTTTCACATGCACCACCACAACCACCACCACCACCGGTCGACGAGATCGACCTCACGATTTTTCACTCGCGACGAAACCTCTCGATGCAGCTTGATCGCTTTCCTTTCTCCTTCACCCTTGCAAATGCACCATGCGATCCAAATCTGATTTCTTAAATCTCACACAAACACCGCTACTCCTTTAACGTTTACCACCTGTCGACATCACCTTTTATCAGTCCCTCCTCTCCCCTTATTTATCTACGCTGCTAGAACGAACAAACACCTAGGAGAGCAGTGAATTTGTAATTTACCTGTTATCGAGGAAAAGAACATCTCCTCTCTTCTAAAGCATCGTCGTATTCGTTTTCGTTTAGTAAGTTCGCTCGACGTTCGCGTTTCCACGCGGTTAATCTAATACAAAACAATGAAAAATATCGAATTTCACTGTTGAAAACTTCTCTTAACTAAGTATGCTGCTGCACGTGAAAACAACACCGCGATACACGCGTTAGGAAACACACCATTAAAACACACCCTTTCTTACTTAAAATTCGTTCAAATAAATACCTGCATTCGTTCAAAGTGTGGCCGAATCTGGACAAGGAAAGCACGTTTTACTCTCTCGGACAAGGTATTTTGCCAATATGCCAAAAATCCATACCACCGTCACTCGAAATAAACACGTTCCTGTGATTCAGTTAACGCAACGTGATCATCGTCCACACTGATATTTAACGGAATCTCACGAAACAAGAAAATACGTACGAGCTCGTCAGACGATGGCGCCCAACTGCAACAAAATTTGTTCGCGCTCAAGTCGTGCGCGCATCCCGTGTTGCGCATATACCCAAATAATTAGTGGGGAATCAAAATTGAACATATTGTTAGAGAAAAAGGTAGATATGTGTATTAAAAGGTTCGTGTCGTCGCTTTCGATTTATTTTACTTGAGAAGAATTATTCGACAAATTTCATTTGTTAACTCTGTCTTCTTGAAAAGAGGAAAAAGAAAAAACATATAAATTTGCTATTTTAAACTAGACACAAAATACTCCTATCGTAAAACAGCGGAAAAACTCGTAAACGTTTAAAAAACAAATTATTCTTTATTTTATGTTTCGTACATACGAACAGTTAAAATTTTATCGTCAACTATAAAATACGCAATCCAGTGGAATAAAACGCAACAATTTACTTCAGGCGGAGGAAGTAAAAAGTAACTTAGTCTAAGTCTAACGTTAAGTAGAAATTGAAAACCGTCCACGAATATATGTACATTCGATAATTAAATGTACGTTTAACACTTTGCCCATAGAAGTAACGCGTACAAACGCGCACACACGATGTTACAAAATCAATACGATTTTTTAACTGGAAATTTACCATATTGCTTTACAAAGATAACGGCTTTCATAGATAAAAATAAACTGTAATTTGTTACATTGATCTATAAACTGTATTCTAATAACAATCTTTCAAGTTGGTGTTGTGTCAACACACGTCGCTTTTATCGTTAAATTAATTAATGTACAACAATTTACACACATATCACAAGAGTTGCATAATTTATACAATATATGTACTAGTCCGTAGAGAAGCTACGTAAGTAAAAACGATCGTCAGAAGAACTTCAGTCTATAGGGTTGTAGTCGTCGCAAAACTCTATCCCGTTATATGTTTCTGCTATCCACCCAAGTAAATATTTCATTTTCTCCGTTGTTTCATCCGATGCTTTCAAGTCTGCTATAATTTCTGTTAAACACTTCGATAGGTGCTCCAATATAGGCTGCAAATGAGAAAATAAAATATTATCATTCCATATAAACGATACTCTTCGTTTCGATAAACGTTCCAACACTCGAGTATTTACCACAGGCCAGTCCTGTCTAAATAAAGCTACACATTGATCGCTAAGACTGTTAATGTCTAAAACGTCTTTTTCTATTAACTTTTTAATAAATCTTCCAAAAACTGGCCAAATCTCTTCCTTTTCTGGTTGAGCCAAGAGCATAACGTTTCTCGAACTGAATATTCTATGTAAAGGTGAATCCAATTCCAAAGCTTTCCAACGGCTCATCGCCCATATTCTTATAAACTTTTCTTGCACGTTTAAACTGAACATATCACTTCGGTAAGCAACTGTAAGTGCAAAAGTATATTAGCAACCTTCTTCTTTGTCCTATCGTGATAATTTATAGTTTATAAGTTACACTTATGATAATTCAATATTATCCTACCTAAAAATAAAGCAAAATCTGTACTAAGAGAATACAAAATTTTCTCCGGTCCCACTACCAAGTCAGCTCTTTCATTTAGAGTTTCGTACAAATTATCTAATGTAGTCGACACGGCCGTTATCGTTAAAGATTCACCACCGTTGTCCAGAATATTCCATATAAATTCCTATAAAAATAGGATAACGCCAAAAAAAAAGAAAAAAAATTTTTAAAAATAAAAAAAAATAGTAAGCTTTCCTGATATTATTTTATTCTCAAAAAAGTATGAAGCGTGCAAATAATTACCCTCAAATCGATGGTAATAGTCGTTGGGCTAACAGCATTTGGATTATGTTTCTTTTCTTGAACGGGCGGCTGCAACGATGTGTTGTTCTTCAAAAACCTATTTAATTCAAGTTGCATATCTTTTATGAATAGTGACCCGCCTACTATGTGGGACTGTATCCATTGATGTATACGTTCCATAGCCAATCTCGTGGCAATTTTAATACACATTTCTTTCACCGATATCAACGAATCTTCCGCCAAAAGAGATTCTATAGATTTAATTACACGTAATTCACAAATTCCCGGTATAGTTGCCTCACACTGTTCTCTCAGCTCTTTAGACATCTTTATAGCCAAAATATTCGTCTCATTAGCCACAGATGCCTAGAAGAAATGATATATGAACTTGTTAACCATCGTTTGCTAACGGTACTCAAAAGTTTCATCATATTCCATATTATATTATTTATTTAATTAGTAAGACATTCCTTAAATCCGTCGACCTACCTCGAAATCGGTAACGTCGTTAAGTAATTGTTCTTCCAATTTCTCCGATTGTCTTCCGCTTGGCCTTTTCTTCAAAATTTTCCTAAACATATTCAAATTCGTTTCTCTAGAGGACGTTAATAGAGTATTACATATATGCTTCACACAAGTTGAAGCGACGCGTTCTGATACAAAATCGACAGTTTTCCGTGTAGACGCTGGTTGTCCGTGAAAAAATGCCTCTTCTAATTGTAGCTATTGAAATACAAATGTCACCATATTTCTTCTACGTCAAATCTAATTATTAGTAAACTTACCTCTAAATGCTTTATACCTGCACTTTTGGCAGATCTGTGAAGTTGACTAGAAACTGGTGTAATATGTTTATTTAGATTCGTATTAGAATTTGATACCGATACGTTTAATCCAACCGAAGGACAACATACACGCAATGTTTTTTCATTGATAATGTCCAATTTATCTAAATTACATTTTGTAGATGTAACAGATACTGGAGATTCCCCTAATAGCATATTTTTCTGCACATAATATTTGTCAAGTTGTTTCAGACTTCGTAATCCTTTAACTTTGTACATCTTTTGCCAAGCAGGATACAAATCCTTTGGAAAATTTGGTAATTCAAATAACCAGCCTAAGGTGGATTTAAGAAGAATCACTGTTTGCTGGGAAATACAACTATCGGGTGCCGAAAACTCAGAATGATTCACAGCTTTATAAATATAATATAAAAGTTCCAAAATTTGCATATAATATGGTAATCGAAGGGATACAATATCCATCATAGCTAAATATTTTGCTATCCAAGGTACAGTTATTGACAATTTTCCTAATGCTATTGCATTATAAAGACAAAGGTGTAAATTTACTGCTGGTAAAACCTAAAAAGTATAATATCAGTTTCGTGTATCGATAATATAAGATATAGAAAACATACAAAGTCTACTACCTACTTTACTTCTTACTTCTACTTGAGCTGCTATCAAACCTTTAAAATTATTCGATTGTGATCTGTATGGTAAAGATACAACAAGACCTAATATTTTTGCAAGAAGTCTCAAACTGGATAAACATGTAATAAAATTTTGTTGTGTTTGTTCGTCCACAGTTGTTTCTATTAGAAAAAAAATATATTAATACACGACAATGCATAATTTATGCTAATAGTATGCATGTACATTAATACCTGAATCTTCTATTTCACTACTGTTAAATTGAGTATCGTTCAATTCCATTATTTCATGAACTAAACAATTTTCTAAATGAATGTAGAAAATTGGATTAAAAGCAAATAATATAAAATTTTTGAAAAATTCTTGTACTCCAGGGAAAGATGGTCCCATGATTTGATTTTTAGAAAGTTGTGGAGTTACTAGCCGCTTATGAAGTTGATTCAGTTTTTCTGGATTTACATGTTTCAAAGTTTTTAAAAAACTTATACTTTCATCATCTTCTACCTCTGCCTGAAAATAATAAAAACAAGCTAAAAACCTGCAAAATAAACTAACAACTTTACTTTTTAAACCCACCTGTTGTCTATTTTGTATACATGAAATTAAAAGTTGTGACTTAAATAATCTTGCAAAGTGATAATAATTTATAGCATCATTGTGCAATGTTAACATAGTTCTTATTTTACTTCCCAAAGCTATCTCAAATGTCCATCCTGGTACTGAATGATTTTCTTCCCAAATTCTAAATATTTCATAAAATGTATCTCTTTGATTTTTGAATGTGTGAAAAGCACATGCAGATGGAAAATTTTCACGATTGTCTGTGTCTGTTTGAAAACACACATTTAATTCACCCATTGTGTGAAAGCAGCTGTAACATAATAAATAATTATATGCATTTAGAAAGTAAAAAAATAGAATTTTAATTTTTATATAACGAATTTAGTATAAAATAATTTCGTTATATATGTTTAAAAAATTGTTGACATTATCTTTAAACACTTACATTCAAAGAAAATAATTTTTATATATACATCTATATATATTGATGTTTAATTATATTTTTCAGTAAAACACGATATTCAAAATAAACAAATGTTTTGTGGTTGCTAATGAAAACAACTCGACAAAGTATTTTATACACAAACTTTATAAATAATATACAATCATTAGCATATTCTATTTATATAACATAGTTTTTAAAAATGCATCTTTAGGTAGATGTGTAATTGGGTACACAGTTCGAAAAAATCGTTTAAACAATTTAAAACAAAATACTTTTGCTTTGTATTTCAACATTATATGCTTCTATATACAAATCTTTTCAACGTACTCATTTATACTTAAATCATCGAATACATGACGTCAACGGTGGCCAACTTTGAGGTTTTCTAGGTTATGTTTATATTTATGAATGTGTTTCAGAATTAAGAGGTAATAAACTAAGCCTCGTACAACATCAGTTCACGCATTCACAATTCTACAACTAGAAAAAAAATTTATAACGTCAGATTATATTTTACAATATACATATAAGTATTAATGCCATAACACTCCAATTCTGACCGTTTAGAGATATTGCTCTATGCCAATTTAATGGCCTCCATCTTGCATTTAGAAATTCGATTCGCAAGAATCGAATTACATTTCCCTTATTCACAAAAATTAAACAATGTAATACGTATAAACCCTTTGCCTTATGATTTAATTTACGTATGCGCGTGCCATAATGAGGCACTCAAATGTTCACGCACTGGAACAAATGAAAATCTAGCGTTACATTCGATATGCTTAAATCGATTGGTTGGAAAACAACAGAATTGCAATAAGAAACTTTATAAAACTTATTCTTCGATGAAACACTAAATTATCAAAGAATAATACAAAATGCTATTAATTTTTGTAATATCATATATTTTCAACATAAGATTAATAACAAAATCTTAAATTTAACGTACAATTAATGTAATAAAATAATTTAATAATCTTGAATGGAATAATATCGTTCAAAACAATTTGGTTCGTGAAATGCCATTTGGCATCTTTTGTACTTCCAATATGTTTCTTATGCTTAATGTAAACTTCGTATGCCTTTGTTGGCTTGCTAAAATATGATAACAATAAAAAAAGACAAATTGATTAACAATATACCTAATGTGTCAACACGTCGCAGAAACTAGTGCTGAAACAAAATAAATAAAGTAGTGGTTTTGCTATGCATTACCAGTGTTTCATTCCACGACCACGAGTTTGATTCAATATTATAAGACAGGGTATTAAGGAAATATGTCTTTTATTAATTTCTGTTAAAAAATATCTATATCTATATATATTTGTTTTTTTCAACTTACAAATAGAGACTTAAATGAAATAACACAACTAATAAATCCTATATTTAATTTCAATGTATATTTATACTTATTTTTTTGTTTTAATAGTGACGTTTTACTTATAAAATGCTTAATAAATTATCCTCGAGATCCAACAAGAGGATAGCTAGCATTGGAAGCAATACCGCAATGGTTCAATTTATTCCTTGCCATTTTGATGTATCCATTGTCACCCCACGATTCACCCCAACTATTCTTTACCAACCAATAGTCTTGACCGTTTTCATCAGTTCCGTATCCTACCACTAATACTCCGTGATCCAAATTTTCAGAAGAGCATTCAGACTCGTAATAGACTCCTACAATTTATACATGATGTTTAGTAAAAATTGTTCAAAACAACACTTAGTGTATCTTGAACATTATGTCCTAATCAGAGATTGTATTGTATGATGAACGACCCAACCTTCAGAATAAAACTGAAAAGACTGATGAGATGCATCAATAGCAACAGAGACTGGTCCTATGGTGGCAACTGCTGCTTTGAGCTTCTTTTCATTTCCTTCTGGAATGTCCACATAACCAACATCTGCGGCCCCACTATTTCTTGCATTATATCTAGAAGTTAAAAAACAATTAATCACAGTGCATAAAAGTAATATACATAAAAAAGATCTTTTTATTACAATATTTACCTGCATTGGTCATTTTTAGCTTCATACGGATAAGTAGCTTCAGTATCTAGACCTGCATTATTCTTTATATATTGAAAAGCTCCATCCATCATTCCTCCATTACAACCATTGTTACCATACTGTCCAGAACAATCAATTAAATTTTGCTCACTTAAAGAAACTAAAACTCCTGTTTTTCGAAAATGTTGTCCTTCTAAAGCTCCAGTCTACATAATAATCATAATCTATTTAATTCCATTAACAATAACAAATGTATTTTACTGTTGATTAAAAACATTAAATATATGTACATTTGAATATTTTTAACTTACTAGTAATCAAAACTAACATATTGTACATTATCAATTACTAAACTTACTGCAGAGAAAGACCAACATGATCCGCATTGTCCTTGATCTTTAACTGGAGTTACAGCACCTTTTTCTCTCCAATCTACTGACTTTGGTAATTCTACATTTGCAGGTTCAATAAATGTGGCACCTATGGGTTGTCTTTGAAATCTTAATCGTGTATTTATAGATTTATTGAAACCATTTAATGTATTCACAAATTCATGATGAAGCTAAAAATAAAATATTAATCTGTACTCATTAAGCATGCAACATGAAATAGCTTCAATTTTATAAACCACCCACCATGTCTCCATACTTGTTCATCTTTAACTTATATGAAACTTTCTTAAGTTCATAATTACTATTATGTTTAGCAATTTTATGTTTGTTATCCATATATATCTTCATTCTGAATCTTTCTTCAACATCAGATTGATAAGCTTTCTTATGTTCCATCTAAAAATTAATAATGAAATTAAATCTTTGTTCCATTTATTTTCTTATAATTTATTCTACAATTTGTGTCTACTTCATTAACTAAAAATTACATTGTTGTCTCTATAAATGTTATTCATAGGTTTGTGGGTAGATTCTTTATCTGTACATATGAATATACATTGATAGAGGACAATCTATAACCAATATACTTTATGTACACAAGGACATCTTGAACTACTGTAGTGCAACATAACTGATTTATCTAAGGATATAAAATTTTTAGTGCTCTGCTCAAAGTACATATAAATTATGTTATCTTTATGAATTGCCACATTACTGGTTTCCCTAATACAAACAATATACAAGTAATTTGATTACCTTAAAGGTTGTCCATTCTTGATTGACCAATTCGAAAAAAGAAACAGCTTGTGCTACAGCAAATATTGCTGATATTAAAAGTAAAAGTAGTACCTTCATGGTTCCAAAATTAAATCTGAAAATTTGTACTTAACATTTAAATTAACAAAATTAAAATAACATTAAAATAAATTATTTTTTGGCTATAATATTAAAAATTCAATATTAAAATTATCAAAAAATGTAAATTTAAAAATCAATTTTTGCAACGTAATAAAACGAAGCAAAATGATGAATTGAAACAACGGAAATGACACATCTTAATCACGCAAATTTCATATTTTATTGAATTTCGTCCAATTTCACGCTATTTCATAACAATAATAACCTCATTGAGCAGTGAAATTCAAATAATATCGTTAACGAACTTTTTTTTTTTTTTAGTTACACAATTAAAAACATTACGTTTATGGTCCTACTTTTTAAATATAAAATAAATAATTATTCTATTGTTTGATTTATTTACGCGATAAAATAACTTACACAAAAATTTCTATTACGCACAATATTTTACATTACATCCATTAACAAAAACAACATTTTATCATATGTTACCAAGTAGTACACGAACAAAGAAACAATTACGTGAAAATTTAAGCAGCAATTTTGTCATTTATTCGATAAAAGTCATTTATTCAAACAGTCAATCTTTCAGAATTACTCATACAACAAAGAACACAAAGAAATAGCTTCTCCTTTATTCTTGATAAGTTGTGAACAAAGTACGTCTTCTTTTATTTCAGATAATGAGCACTTCTTTTATTTCACTTCTTGCATATACACATGTCCGTAAACAGGTTTCGTAATTAACACAGACACTATCATTATACTCAGGCAAGAATCAGAATATTATGAAAGAATAGTAAAGTTGTACAATAGCTTACCAAGAATAAAAATTAGTTGTTAAGAAGATTTATCCGAAACAAGAATGATCCGTTTAAGTTTCTGCCGTTACTTCAGCTGACTACATATGCATACGAGCACACTCTTTTCTCTGTTTTCTATATCCTCCCCTTCTACTGTATGATTCATTGTTGTCAACTTCTAACATGAAACAGCGTTTCTCAACTTGGATTGCCAAACATTAAATCAAATTATTTGTAAGAAAAACATGAACGTTGTTAAACTATACATATAATACACATATGAACATGTTACAGAAAACGATAATTACGAATGTATCATTAATATAACTATAAAAAAATTTGCAATTTCATGATAATATACATAATGTTTAAACATACATATGTATATATTTTTTTTTTACAAGTTAAAGTGAATTTTTATTACTTTGGAGTAATCTTTAGAGTATCTTATTTTCTGGTTATTATTATTTTCGCTATTAAACATTAGTTGACATTTTTGTTGTTTTAAGGTCAAATATTATGTAAATGTTAACGATTGTAACTCTTGAATTTAATATAATAACATTAAGAATATGATTATATGCCTTATCAATATAAAATATACTGTTATACTGTATAAATGTAAGAATACGAAGTATTGTTTCCATTAATTACTGAACATTAATTGGCATTACAAATTTTTCTACAAAATCTAAAATAACTGCAATATTATAAAATGTTTTCAATAATATCATACATTCTTTAATTATTCATTTAATTAATAAAAACATAATTATAGTGAAATTTAATGAATTGGGAAACACTGAGGAGTGGAATATCGTATAATTTTATCTATTCACGTGCTTTTCTACGTATTTACTCTCGATACTTCGTTTAAATCGATTTGAATACGATCATTCGTTATACATTGCAGTTGTCATGTGATTTTGATAAGTTGTAGCAACCCATATTTCAACACATGCACCCATATACATTACGTATAAATAATACGTCTTATCGCTTGTAATGCTTGCGCATTTTTTAAATTATCTTCTAATCTTTAGTTTTATAATTTATTGATATGATTTAAATTATTTATTCCTACTTCTTATTCATTCTATTGAATTTCATAAATCATTTATTTAAACCTTATATATTTATGATGTTTTTCTTCTTTTACAATTTTTGATTCAATTTGTTCGACCTGATCGAAAGTTAAGAATTAGAATTGCTATTATTTAATTCTAATTTTATTATCGTACATCTTGAAATGCAAGTAAAACATTTAATTTTCCTTTTTTCAGTCTCTATTGAGAAACAAGAAAAGCTATGAAATCTTGTATTAATGTTGGAATTTGTTATATTAATCATAGAATATACGCGCAAAATTTTCGAATCGAAAGAATTTAAAACTTTATTTATTCATTTCCTTGAAATATTATTTAGTGCACAACAGTTTAATATCTATTGGTAGCATGTTCTATATGGGTATACACTTATGTATACATGTACATACATCTAAACTACTGCATGCGATTCTATTCCATGTATACGTAATACCTCTTATAAGGTGGAAATTTAACAATTGCAAAGATGAGTGGACCAAAAATTGAATCATTCGATGTATCGCAAAAAATGCGAAATATAATAGAGTGGAGACATGCCAGAAGAAAACAATTACGCGAACAATATTTAAGAGAAATTCTTAAACCAACGAAACTAAAACTACCTGTACGTATTACTTGGCTTAACCTTATTTATGCGATTTCAATAATCATCCAAAGTATATTTAGGAAAAGTCACATTGTAATTTACTTAAACTCATATTTGATGATGTAGTTGGCATTTAATCTTTTTTAAGTAGTCATTAGTTTAATTATGTAATAACTTCATAATTTTATTGGAAGAATGAAATTATGTAAGATAACTGTTTCGCTTTTCCCGCTGACGGAAAATATACATATACGTCTATTTAATTTTAATTGCATTAATATTTATAAAATTATGTGATATTTATATTCAAAATATGCAGGTAGACACTGCAATGCAACGATATTGTAATGCTAGACTTATGCAAGAATTTCAAACCAAAGTAGAAGGTAAAGGTCATGGATATTTTATTGTTGGATTCTTAACAATAATAATAGGAACAATGCTATTAGCCAAAAGGAGCAAGGTAAATTAGTATATAAATTGTGAAAATATTTATTAAAAGTGTATACATACTATGAGAATGAATTTTTTGTATCTTGCAGGATAAAGAAGAACATATGTATCGTACTGGCCAAATAAGTTATGTTGATAGAAACGGAAAGTTTGTTTAAGATTTCTCTTTCTGATAGTATATTTATAAATCATGTACATGCATATTGTACCATGTGTAATACATTAAACACTTCAGGCAAAACAACTGTCTTTTGAATAAAAATAACACTATAAGATAATTATTAAATATTTCGTTTTATTCGATTATGTTTAATTTAATAAACAAAAGCTAAAAATGCATATATACTTTTGCTGTAGGTGCTATAATTCTGTTCAATTTATAAAAAGGATATTTTTATGAAGTGACTAAATCTTTTTAGTTTGTTCTTAGATTGGGGCTAGGTTGATAAAAAAGTAAATGGGTATATTTCTCTTCTTCTGTTAATTATACTTGCATACAATATTTTATTTTAAAATTTTTTAATTCTTTTCTTTGTGTTTCATTATCGATCTTCAAGTTGTTTGTCACGAGTAACAACTGCATCATCAAACTTGACCATATATGTTGTTCCTTTATGCCAGTGTGCAGTCACTTTTGCTGGCTATAAATATAAGTAAGAATAAATTTGTTATTAATAGCTATTATATTTTTGTTGATAATTATGTTGTTTATTTGTTGTACTGTTGTACTATTAAGCATTGCATCAAAACCACAATCACAAAGAATAGCTTCAACTATTCCAGCAATAAAAGAAGCACAATTTAAACTTCCTTTATCTTTTGGAACTGATATAAATTTATTTACTAATGCCTCCTTTTCTATGATATAATATGTACGTTCATCGTCGTTTGCATGTTCTAACTTGTCAGCTTCACGGCCAAACAATGATTTCCATACAGTGCTTTTAATAAATAACAGAATATTCAATAATTTTATTTCACGTTTCCCACTTTTTTCTCGGACAACAAGAAGATCCGTTATCCTGTGACCAACTTCTGCACCTATTTCTGCTAATCTAATCAATAAATATACAAATATTTGTTTCACATACGGTGTAACAATTGCTTCACAATATTGATTAATTACGTACTTATTTTGTAATTCGGGTACGGTGTAAACACGATTTTGACAGTACTGAACAAGTTCTGAAAATAACAGTGCAAAACAACTCAAGCTAACCTCTCCTTTTCCTTTACTTAATGATTTATCAAGAATACTTGTACGTGTTCGAATCGCCGATATTGTAATACTTGTCATTTTTGTAAAATAATTATTACTTAATATAAATTTGTACTTTCGGCAAAATTGTAGGTAATACGACTAGAAAACTATATTAATTGCAACACTGACTTATCTCCACGTGATTTTCTCGCCATCTGGTGATAAAATGAAGAATGATGCACTCATTTATGTGAAAAGTATAAAACAAATTAAATACGAAAATATTACTTTATTGTTAAATTTTCGAAGAACAATGTTACCTGTTATCATAATCTTTCAGGTATAAAAGATTAAAAGATCAATATCTCAAACCCTTTACCATAAACACATATGTCTGATTGACCCCTAAAATAACCCAATATTAATCTCATAAGATATAGCACTATTTAAATTACAAATCTACTTTGAATGTTTTTTAGTATAAAATACTAAATACCATATAAATAATAAACATACTTTGAACTGTTCCATGAAGTTAAGCCTTTTACATCTGTCACAAATGTAATGACTTTCTTCAAAACTGTTACAGATAAAGTGTCATTATTATAATAATAACTATACATAATCACTTGTTGATCCATTCCAACGCTATAAATTTTATTTTCTTCGTGAAACATTATTCCTGAAAAATAATCATCTAATAAATTAAATAAATTTTCATAAAACAGATTTTCATTTTCATTTTGTTGATATTTGTTTCAAATTAATCGTTATTTAAGAAACAAGAGTATTAATGTGATAAATTACGGTAAATATTGCTTAGATATGAATATTGTCAGACAAATTGTACATATACCTGTAATTTGAGCAGCATGTGCATTTGGAGTACTCCATTTTGATAATACTGAAATATGTAACTCTTTCTTGTTGTTCAGTAACTGAACTTGAAAACGAATAAGATTAAATAGATTGTCATCACCACCAGTTGCTAACAAATATTCACCTTTCTCATTCATTTTGATATCATATGAATTAATTCCAGACTGATGCAAATTAAACTTTTCAATGGATGCATCTTTACAATTTTGAAACTCTTGTTCTTCAACTTCGTGAAATTTTATAATTCTTGAAATAGTATCGGTAAAATCAATAAATCGACCAATTCCATCAGTTGACATCGTTAATGCTATTATTTTCTCTTCATATGTTAAAATAGTTAATTTTGATATACAACGATCAACACATTTTGCATGTACTTTTAACGAAATGCGTTTTGTATTAATATCATACAAAAATATTCTGTAAATAATATTCAAATAAACATTTTAACACAAAAAAATTTAAGTAAAACATATGACTATAAAGTATACCTAATGAATCCATCTGCACAAGCAACAAAGAGCAGTATGTAATGTAATTTTGTACAACGATAAATCTCAATGTCCATATATCGAGTCTCAGGTTGCACAAAGTAGGACTGATTAGATTCTTGCCATTGTTTCTTACGTTGTCGATCAAATCCGTACAACATATGAGATGTAATGTCATGACAAGAGATATCTGTACTTTGTAGAAATGTTTTACTGCCTTTTATATCAATTTCCCATACTTTTATTTGAGCTCTTCCACCCCCCGAAAAAACGAGAAATTTATTGTAGAAAAGGTCAGATTCTAAATTCAAGCAAGTTATAAATTTTATACTAGAAATGTGACCATCAAAAATACCCAATGTTCGAAAGGTGAAATCGTTTTTTATTGGTGTATTTGAAACATTAGTAATACGAAGGGTACCATCTTCACCTCCAGATATAAAAATATTGTGTTGATCAATTTGAAATACAGGATTAACACAGCATATTTCCTTTGTATGAAAACCATTCTAAAAATTTAACAGTGAAAATCATATAACTATACTTTCTATCAAGAAGCATAAAATGTAAAGAAATTACTCACTAATAAAACCGGTGACACTAAGGAACTTAGTGGAAAATGAAGTACATATACTTGTTTATTACGAATATAAATAAGTGTTATAAGTTCCTTTAGTAGCATACAATCCCATGATCTATGCCCACCACCACAAGGAACTCTTATTAAAGTTCGATGATTGATCATACTGTATATCACAAACTCCACCTATAAATAAGATTCAGAAAAAACTTAAAAATCTTTAAAAAAAAATATATCTACATATTAACATAGCATTTAGTTAAATACGGATATACCTCTTGAAAACCTAATATAAAAATATCATCAGATGTTTTCAAATGACCACTAATCCAGTCCATTGGCAGCTTTTCTTTATGTAAAGTGCATAATAATTTCGCGTTTTTATGCTTATATGTTTCGTAAAACCTTAACATTCCATCGCGACCTGCTGATATCAATTTTGAGTCTAAAACTATAAAATTCTGGATGCCAATTTTTCCATGAACTTTGACAAAAGTTTGAATAGGTTTATTATCAATTCTAGCTATATTTGTTGGATTTTGTGAAATAGATTTTTCAAGCTCAAAAACATGCATATTTCCAGCTCTATCTCCACACACTAATAACCCTTCATATAGAACCGCTGCTGTTAACCAACGTTCTCGACTGTGCGGTAGGAGACACACTGATTGTATAGTAATTGACCCTATGTGAAATAAACACAGTAAGAATGAAATAAAAACCAAAAGTTTGTTACACAATAATATTTTCTGTATACCTGTTATAGTAAAAGTAAATATCCTTAACATTCCATTTATCCCACAAGCTATTAGTTTATTTCTTTCTAACCACTGTATTGAAAATATTTGTGATTCCATTATCTTTTCTTCAAAAACCTGTTGTAACTTTTTGTCAGTTCCATCATATTCTAAAATTGTTTTGTATAAAATGTTTAACAATTAATATAATTTTATCAATATTTAATTTCATATTACCATTGTATACCGTTACATATCCATCTCTTGATGCAAAACAAACAAGGGAATGACATAAAGAAACTTCCATAACACAATATGTGCTGTATCTTTCTAAATATAATGTCTCTTGTGGATCATTGTACAATCTGTCAAAGACAAATAAAATACCATTTTCATTGAAAACCAGGAGGTTACCACTACTTAAGTAACAAACATATTTTGGTAAAGTGCATGTATGTCTTTTAGGTAGCAATATAGCTTCTTGAATGTAATTATTAATAAAAGGCCATGCATGAACTGCACCATCAGCACCACCGGTAAAAATACTTTTATTATCATCTGATGCATCGATACTCCATATAGCAGCACCATGATGAGCACAAATTTTGTTAAGTAATTTTCCATCCAATGACCAAGTGCACATAAGAGAATCCTTAAATTATGAACATAACAATATCTACAACTACCTCTATCTTACATTATTCATTCTATGTACAGAATAACACTTACCTCTCCTATTGTAATTAAAATTTCATTTCTAATAATAGCTTTCCATACTCTAGCTGTATGGCCAAATATTGTTCGTGATAATTTTATATTAGCTTGCCTCCAATTTATAACATTACTTTCTTTACTTTCAATATTACTTACTTTCCATAATCTAACTGTTCTATCATCTGATGTAGAGCAAATAAGTTGTGTAGCTGAGTCATATATAACTGAAAAGATGACACCCTAGAATTTAAACACATTTAAACTCTTAAATTTAAACATAATATATTTAAAAAGTATATTACTGTATAATACTATATAATACTAACATTATGTCCTTGCAAACGATGTAAAACTGATGATGTTTCAGCATAAAAACCACAATTTACTTCCCATATTAATATTTCTTGATATACTGTTCCACTAAAGACAACCAAATCTTTATTATTGTTTATTAAGATGGATCCACCATATCTAATAATAAAGCTAAGTTTATTGTTAGAACATAATTTTTGTTAAATATATAGAAGTGTAAGGATACAGAATACACTTTTCTTCACACGATACATTTTGGTAGCATTCACAGAATATATCATAAATGCATATATTATTATGTGCTAAAAGAACACATAAATAATTGCATTCATGAAGTGTTAACCATTTTATTGCTATTATCCAGTCAGTCAGCATTTTTTTCTGAGAATCTTCTTCAATTCTAAAATAAATATTTTATTCTATGTATTTATACAAATTATACAAGTATATAATACTCAGATAACATACATGAATATTCCTTGTTCTTTGGAAATTTTATATGTACAAAGAACATTAGCACCAAATACAGTTAACTGGTTATTAGGGCCTTCAACAATCCCATGTATATTATATGGATAAAAGCAACTTATTTTTTTTTCCAATTTATAAGTGGTACGATTAAAAATGTGTAATGTAGAGCCCATACCTATGTACGTAAATAACAACAATATAGTTTGAAAAGGGAAGTGTAAACATTAAGAAGAAATTGAAACTATATAAATATAATTTATCGTCTAGAAGAAGAATCGAAGATTTTATTGTTATTCTTGTATACATATAGCAATGAAATCGTAAATGTTAAACTAACCTACAAAAATTAGATTATCTATACAGCGGATAGCAAGCACGTCAGTGCATAGAAGTTTTGAAATCATTTTGAATAATAAAGTTTAGTATTAATGTTTCTAATAACCACGTACTGAACTTGAATATACTATTCATTAGTTATTAATAATTAGTACTTGCACATTACAACGATACAAGAAGTTATTCGCCATGCTACTACTATGTAAATATCCACATGGTTGCTTGACGTAATTTTCATTCAAGTGTTAACCATGATGTAGTATACAACACAATTCAAAATCATTGAAACAAATTTTCAGAACTAAATATTCCTTATGAATTAAAACATTAGTGTGACATGTACGAAATCATGAACTAATATAAAATAATTACATCACATGAATCAATATTCTAAAGTTTACTAAAAAAATATTTCTTATTCATTGTCACCTGACTATATATGTACGTAACATTTTTATTGAATAATATACAAAATGTTTGATATACAATGGAATCAACATGAAATAATATTAGATTCTTTTAATGTCTTATTTTAAATTCATATACTTTTGTTAGAAAGTATAGTTTTAAATAGGAAATTAAAATAATCATTAAGACAGCCAGTATTTAATGAGAAAAGTGATAATGTGGGTATTTGGTTATGGCTCACTGATATGGAAAGCAGACTTTCCATATGAAAAAATTCTTGTTGGTCACATTAAAGGATATGTCAGGAGATTTTATCAAAAAAGTACAGATCATAGAGGGACACCTAGCAAAGTAAGTAATTAATCATTTTTATATCAAAGTTTTTTAAACAATTTTTTCTGTTTAAAATATTTTTCATCATTTTTCATATTTTATGATACATATGTTAAAATATTTTTAGTTTTAAGTTTATTTGGTATTTTTGGAGTATTTAAGAATGTGTCTATTAAAATCTTATTGCTTGTATATTTGATGATTTAAGTTGTAATAAATTTTTGTTTTCATGTAAAAACTAACTTGTACAGGAATTTTGTGTAATTATTTCTTTATTAATAGAATCTGATTTTACATGTAAAAATATTGTTTACATTTATATATTACATTAAACATAGAGCATTTTATTATTTATTAACAAACCTTATTGCATTAGCAATTGTGTGATACATAATCCACTGTATTCAATTATACAAAAAATCATATTCTGTTGTAGCCTGGTCGCGTTGTTACATTACTTTCTTCCGATAATCCTAATGATGAAGTATGGGGTGTTGCTTATAAAATATCATCACAGAATATAGATAAAGTTGTTACACACTTGGATTACAGGGAAAAAGGAGGTTACGAAAGAAAAAGTGTTCTTTTTTATCCATCGTATTCAATTAAAGATATTGGGTCACTTTCATCAGTGAATAACACTTCTCAAAGTGATTTTCAAGATGAAAAGTCATTAACAACAGTTTCAAAAAACACACCATTTTATATTACAATTTATATAGGTGGAGAAGATAACCCAAATTATGCAGGTGTAGAAGATATATGTACAATAGCAAAACATATACTTGTATGTCATGGTCCCAGTGGAGCTAATACAGAATATTTGTATAAACTAGCATCTGCAATGCGAGTTATAGCACCAGGTAAAAGTGATGAACACTTATATACATTAGAGACAACTGTGAAAACATTAGAACAAAATGTGAATGTCAAAATAAAGTTGGATAAAAATTGATGTATTAATAAAAATGGTTAAAAATTTATGTGTTTAATAAATATACTTCATAAATGTGTGTAATGTAATCAAAAACTTTTATAGTTTAAAGAGCAGAAAGATAGACAAATTATTATTTATGAAATTAGAATTAAAAAGAAAAAGTAGCTTTCTACAATATGAAATGTGATACTTTCAATAAAGATATTTTGTGTGATAAAAGCTAATATTATTATTCTTTTCATAATTTTATTATGTGTATGCTTATATAATCTCACAAATATAGTATTTTACTTAAATATTAACTAATTTCAAGTACAAGAATAAATATACATAAAAAATATCATTATGCCAAAATGTATGAAGTGATATTTAAAAATGATTTCTGTTTTCTGTTTGTATATGTATTATGTATATACCTATTTGCATAACTCTCTATATTGTAAACTGACCAATGAACTTTTATAATGAGTATTATAACATATGATCAACTGAAGTTAGTTCATGAACTATGCACATGTATATATAAAGGATATTAATAGCATGAAAGAGGTCATATCAAAATTTGGCTGTGACTGAAGAAAATTTACAACATTTAATCTTTCTTATGACATTTTAAATTATTTAATATTATACAAACTATCACATACTTACAAATTATGTATTTAAAAGTTTTTACATTGTAAGACTGGAAAAATTAATAAGATAACAAAATATACATATACCCTAATAAGTTTAATAAAAATATTTGATATACTTGAATACACCATCTATTTTATTATACATGTACTTCGAAATATTTCGAATGATAATAAAATTGTAAACAATACAACCACAGTCGCGCTAACATCAATACCATTTTTAATGTAAAATCTGAAGTTATACATGTAGAATTTAAAAAGTAACATTTAGTTTTACGTAAGATTAATGAAAATTGTTTTGAAATTACTGAAATTACGATGATAAATTAGTATAATGATATTATACATTTAAATTTCATTGCGAAAATAAATTACGTTCATGGCGGGACTACTTTTTGTTACGCATGAACGTGCAGTGACGCGTAATGATCAGCTGAACGTACATAGCTCCGCCATTTCTTATTGTTAAGACAACTGTCAAACGGAGTAGTTCGTTTGTGATTCTATTTCCTATCTATTTTGGCAAATACGATAAAACAGCCAAGATTGGGTGATCTATTGACGTAAAAGCGTTTCGGACGCATCCGGGTAAGTGTTTTCCTAAAATATTATTATTTTTTTACAAATATTTACAAAACTCCTCCAAGGGTCTAACTAAACAAAATGGTGGTAACAAGAAAAGTAGAATTAATAATTGTTAGATAGCTTATGATGTATGTTTTGTATAATGTCGATATGTTTTTTGATATTAGTATCTATAATATTATTGTACATTCAATAGATTTTTCAGTTTTTTTGCTAGTCTAATTGAAACTTTACGCATGACATATAATTGCATTAAAATTTTTGTTTTTGTTTTCAGTAAATTAACAATAGTGAACGGCATCTGTACGTTTTACAACATATTCGTATTCTAATTCTGAATTCAGTTAACTCGATTATTTTAAAAGCAACGTTTATTTACGATTACTGAGTTCAAAGCAATATAAAATAACAAGGGAAATAAAGCTGAACGTATACGTATAAATGCATATGTACATGTCAATTTTTATAAATCGCTTTTTATTAAATTCATACGTGAATTTTTATCAAACATAGGAACAAATTTTAATCCTATTCAGTTATAAAACATATTCATAGAGATATTTTTATTTAATTTTGTTATTTGGAAGCTTGAGTCATTACAAAAGTTGTTGTTATTCATTTATGTATATGATATAAATAAAAATTTTCGGTGAATGTTTAAGTTCAATTTTTTTGGTTTCATGTAAACACATGATAAAATGATATTTTGTAAAAATAAAGGATTTGTTTAATAAGAAATTTCGTACTTTATCTTGATACTGTTTCACGGTTAACTTCGTTCAAATTCGTACGTATTCGTAGTGATTCGGGTATTGTTCACTGTGACGATTCAGAAAGCAGATGCAACTTACAGTATCGTTCGGATGCGCGCGCGAGAGGAGCGTACGTTTCGCTCTGTGTGAGAGATCATTGCTCTTACGTAAAAAATAAAAAAAAAAAAAAGAACAGTACATACAATTTTTTAGTGGTTGTATGATTTCATAAAATCACAGTGTTTGCAATATACAGTACGTATATATGTTTATTATTATATACAAAACCATATTATAAATATTTTGCCGCCAATACACCGAGTTGATCAACGATCAATACATAAACATTTCTTGCATTAATTTATTCATTAATTTTTCTTGTTTTATAATAATTGGTTATTATTATTAGCCAAGCAATTTTCTGTTTTGTAGTATCCCTTTTTTAAAATTTGTTTCTCATTCTGCTTCATCCAACAGAATTCAAAAAAGAATCTCATAGTAAGAGATATTTTTGGAACCTTAGGGAATAAATTATTATTTTTTTATGGTTCTCTCCCTCTCTAGCAATACATTTCAATAGTTTCCTTAAGACGATGGAGTCCGTCAGTCGTTTACGAATATGTAATAAATTTACATACGTGGTGTAATATTGGAAGGTAATTGACGCGTAAATATATTTTTCGCATTTGCGCTGTTTTTTTTTTTTTTCAGAATTATTTATTTAGACTCCCTTTTATTCGTCGCTTTAGTAAATGTTGATTTATATTCCACTTTGCATCTCAGTTAGTTCATTCTAATTAAATTTTGAGAGAAAACTTGATTCGCATATTTGTATATTTCAAAACTACATAGTTTGTTTTCATTCAGTATGTGATACAAGTAAGTAGTTCGAGATGATTTGAGCGAATTCTCGTTATACCTTTAATTTTGACAATTCGTTGCATCAGCCGTTCAATACATTTCTATACGTTCTTTTTTCAATGACGCGTGTCAGTAGCATAATTGAATTATTGTAAACACATCATATATTTTTTTTTTATATTGCAAATGAGACTATTCGTGAAGATGATTTTACAACAATCTGTTGTTACATTATTTTATACGGCAATTGTTTTTACGCTACAGTAATTCCAATCGTTTTCCAATCTATTATTGGTTTGTATTTATTGAATTTGAATTTATTAAATATTGTTCTTTGTTTCGAATTATTTAATCTTCAAAGTTTCGCAATAAGTATTGGATTTTTGTCTAAATTTCATCATATCTTTACAACATTAATTATTCTTTATGGATTTCAAGAAAAGTTACTGTATGTAGTAAGGAATTATCTGTAATTATCATAGATATTTTTTGAATGTGTAGTAACTATTATACTGGTTATCGAAATACAGCTCGTGGTAGTTGTGCAAAAATGTAACTGACTTTATAATTGCAACATTTGTTAAACTCTAAATGTCGTGTTATATTATAAACAATATCCCAATTCTTTTTATTACGTGTAGGAATTTCGATATTTCGATAGCAATAAAAAATTCGTTTTAAAAATGTTAGAAATATATTAGAATCGTGTTACGAACTTGAAAGAAAAATAATAAATCGAATCGATCTTTATAGCAATATATTTAAATATTTTACGATGAATAAAATTTTGTAGAAATGTTATTTCGATAGAATTTTAAGTCAATGTACTGTCAGGAAATAAATGCATGAGAGAAAAAGATGGTAGATTGAAGTCGGTCGAAGTTATTTCGAATGAAATGCTTTTCTAGTACATTCTTGAAACTTTCAACTAATTTAGTTGCCGGCACGTGGATGCAAACACGTACGCGTAGAATGATAGGAAATGATTATAATAAAGAACAAGGAATATTTTAATTTTTCTAAAATCTGTAAGCCTTAAAATTTAAATGATGAATTAATTATTGTTGCTCGAAGAAAATGTTTATATTGTACGAGAAAAACCATTACCATGTTTATTCATTTTTTATATTCAATTATTGTATTTAAAAAATGTATATCATTTGCAAAGTCTGTTCTATATCACAAATCAAGTAAATACAGTTGCAATTTAAAATTGCTTTAAAAACATATGTATGTAACTTAATTGATAAATAATTTAATACAAAATTCTTTTAATATCATTATTATTAATTTTTTTTATAGATACAAGGCTAGCCAGCTGCGCCATTCTTGTTGTGTGACATTCATATTATCAGCCACACTACGCATATTTTGCATCACTTTACCCTCTCATCGTTGTTGTGGTGAGCTGCTAGTCACACATTGCAGGAATGGACACATCGGGCTTGCCTGTACCGGATGCAATCCACCCGCTACTTGAACAGCTGCAAGAAGCTTTGGTTCTTGAAGTAAAATATCAACCTAACCTTCAGTTATCTACTATATCACAAGTAAGTATATAAATCATCTAGAATATTGAATTAGAATAATTTGATATTTTTATGTACTGTATATTACTATAAAAGTATTCATACATATTTTGTTATCTTTATAAAACGTGTGTTTTCTTCTTTTCAGAATGATGAAATAACAATTGGAGGTCGTGATGGATCAGCCCATGTTTTGAGGTGTTTGAAAGTATGGTATGATTTACCATCGGATGTATTTTTTGTTGCCATCAATTTAATGGACCGCTTTTTAACAAAAATGAAAGCAAGACCAAAACATATGGCTTGTATCAGTGTATCTGCTTTTCACATAGCTGCTGTCCAATTAGCACAGTCATTGGATGCTGATCACTTAGTCTCTATTTCTCAGTGCAAATGCACTGGTGGTGATCTTAAACGTATGTCAGAAGTAATAAGGAATAAGTTAGAATGGGCACCTGGTACTCAACCTATTACATCTTTAACCTTTCTTCGGTTATTCAATGCAATGTTCCTTGCAATTGCATCACAGTTAGGACTAGGAGACATATATACCAGTATTGTTACAGTAAGATATTTGTTTGTTTATTTACAAATGTACGATATTGCACTAATTAGAACATTATAAATTTATTGCTTGCCTTATTTTAGGAATCTGAGCTTCTTCTTAGGTTAGAGATGGTTGCTTGTAATGGCAATTGTGCAAGTTTGAAGCCATCAGAAGTGGCACTTGTTTTACTCTGCACATATTTAGATGGTGCAGTTAATCGATTAGATACTAATACAGATACTCCCATACCTGCAACAGTTATTCCTAGTTCCTCTACTATCAATACATCTATAACATCAAAACATCAGCTGCTTAGACTTTTAGAATTTGCTATAGAACTTCAGAAAATATGCAAGGTAATATTATATCAATTTGGTAATTTTTAAGTTTTCATAAAAGCTAGTAAATGTAATAGGTAAGCTAATAAATATTTGGTATGTTGTTTTTACAGATTTCAGATACAAGTTTTTTTTCCACACATGAAGATGTGGGTGCTATATTGAGCAAATATAATGCCCAAGAGCAGACTCCTCACAGACAAAGACTGATATGGAGATTATCCTCTCGTACAGCACGTCTTTTACGTCCAACTGATAAATTTACTTCTGTATTACCTGTTATCGCCGAACATACTCCGGTTCCTTCACCGAGTAAAATCAGGTACATTTTTCGAATCCTTTGATGTTCTATATTAATACTTCTCAATCATATAATAATACATTTTTTTTTTTTTTGTTCCCTCTTCCTTATAGAAAAAATCGTAAGTTCGGTCGACGTCATGCAAATAAGAGACGTTAAACGGCAGTATCGGGGCCTTAAAGTAAGATATTAATATTGAATGATTATAATTGAAAATATTAGCAAAAGGTAAATAGGAATCTGTTGCAACTGATTATTGATTATTTTTAAGGTGCTGGATCAGAAGTTCAATATTTATTCAACGTATTGAGCACGAAAATAAATTAGGCTTCAGTTTGAAATTAGAAATACATTTTGTTAGAAATTCAATAGAAAGTACAAATATCACTGTATTTACGTCGGATGGCGAAATTTGATATACTTCTTTTTATGTCATATTGAGAAACAAAGCCGAAAAAATATTTCAAAACAGAGTATTTAAATTCGCAATGAACGTAGTCTTGCACATATGGAATGTATTAAAACATCCCGTTGTTTTCTTTTTTAAATTATACCATATTTTTTTACAAAATAGACGACGATTTTCATTCTCAAATCAACAATTATCAGTTACTGTTATTCTATAAAGCATACAAGTGACATAAGAAAAAAAATGAAAGAAATGAATAAGAATCGAACAAGCAAATTGTATTTTAGTAAGGTTAATGTGATACAATGTCCATTGTAATTTGTACTTCATGAATACTTCATCGTAAGTATTTGCGTATATTTGCAAAAGATGTTAGATATGTGAAAGAAAATCAATTATACGTGAGTATAAATATAAAGTTAAAAAATTATTCAAAGAAATAAATTATAGAAAATTAATAAATTTATTTAGGAAGATCAAAATGTTTAATAAATTTTAATGCTACAAATTGTGCAAAATTTAAATTACTACTTGATGTTCTGTCGCGAGACTGTATTTAAATTATATATTGTTTAAGAAGTGTATGAATGGATGTAAATAGGGCAAACATTTGTCAAATGGTTTTACAATATTTGAGTTAAGTAAAAATTGTAAGTACGCATTTATATTAAACAGTCTAACTGCTAAACCTTTTGTACTCAAATTGTGTTTCTCACATTTGTAACGTATTCACGTTTAGTGAAAACTTCATTAATTTTGGTAACTAATTACCACTTCTCAATTTCATTTATTTTACATAAATAATTAATACGTGTAACGACCAAAAGAATCTCAAAAGACAGCAGTTGCCTTCAATCTAGGTCATATTGAACATGATCCAGGATTAGTTCAAAGTTAGACAGTGTTTTTTATAAAATTATTAGACAGTGTTTCAAGAATGCGATGTATGTATGTTATTAATAAATACAATTAAGAGCGCAAAAGGTTAGTAATATAACACTGAATGCTTTGAGCAAACATTTTTGAAAATCAACACAAAAAGTATCAGCTGTGAAAGTATAATTACGTGTAAAATTAATTTAAGCTGTATAGTATTACAAATTAAGAGTAAGAATAATACATTAAAGCCACAATTTGTGATAGGATTTTTTACTAATGTAGTTTTTAAATGTGGCAATCACTAAAAGGCAGCAAAATCATTTTGAGCATTTAAGAATTAAATACTTGTCTATTACAGTTTATTATCTCTTCATTTCATACCTTAGATTTTGTACTAATTTCATAGTGTGATGACACACATACACACACAAAACTGAAACAAAAATACTCCAAATGAAGTATAGTAAATAATTTATATTAAACAACATTTCATTCAACTGTACAATATTAAAACAAGAAAGATTAGTTGTAAAAAACAAAAGCATCATGTTCTTATTGTTTATAAACCACCTTGTTCTTGAATTGCGTAAAAAAATGTTGTTTATAATGTTGTTCATAGTGCTAAAGAGATAATTATCTTGAAGAGAAGAGTTTATTTTATAATGCGCCTGTATTTTTAGCCAATTTATACTAGTCATAAGTCATATCTATATCCTGAATTTTTATTTGATTTCACATTATAAGAATATTTCTTTAAAAGAGATTATTAAAATAAAAGAAAAGTGAAATTACATATCTCGGAACAATTTCAATGCACAGAACTATCATTCAAGGATATATTCAATTGAATTATAAAGTATGAAAGATTTGTACAATATATACATAATAGGAGTTTTTGTGTAATAAAGGATAGGGTAAGGTTTAACAATTATCTTCTATGAAGTATATAACTTTTTGTGTAAAACACATTACATATGAGTGTAAGGATCGTAAATATTTAAAGAAAGAACAATGCGAAATAATATTCTATGGACCATTTAATCTTGAAATATGATTATTGTATAAAATTATGGTACAAAATATACAATATTGTAAATTGATTTAAATATTTTAATCTTCTTTTTGAAGATTGTAAAGAAAAATATATAGACAAGTTTGTTATAGTATTTTTTCTAATTACATTGTTGTAAAATGATAACAAAAATTTGTTACATTGTGGATTATAAATACTTTAACTTTGTACTAAGAAAATTAGTAAAAAGGAAAAATTGGAGAACTTTAGTAAAATTAAGATGTATTTAAAATTGCAAAACTGTTTTTTCTTCCCCTAGTGAAAAGTTAAACATTAAATATTAATAGTGCAAGTAGAAAGTATTGTCATAAATTTCTTACATTTTATGCCAACAAATTATTTAATGCAATTTTACATTTTTTGTACGTTAAATAATGAATGTGAAAAAATAGCACGTATCGTTATCATGGTATAATATTTAATACAATTGTATTATATGTTAATAAATAAATTATTTTTTGCTTTACAGTACTTCAATGATCATCCTATTTTATATATAATATTAACAATATAGTGAATTATGTGTAATAGCGAAGTTACGGACAACTGTGTTTACAACAAAACATTCCTAGAGTTAATATGTGGCATTACTTACATATTTAGTACCATATATAATTGAAATATATGTACATACGTGCGTATATTAAAGACAAAGTTTTACATGCAAAATGCACTCTAACATTATATTGTAGAATAATATAAGTAAGGAACATAAATTTGATTAAAAGTTTTTGAAGAAATAATCGGGAGCAAAATTATTTTTCGAGGCTGTCATATACGTATATTTTGCACGTTTGATTGCATCATTGATATAACATGTCATCTTTAATACAAATTGACGGAAGTTTGGGCGAAGGTGTACGTATTTTAAAATTATTTATTTCATAATATGCATGCAAGGTTAGGCAGCGATACAAATGATTATTACTGTTTAAATATTTTCATTTAAAATATGGGAAAAAATTATGTTTCTTTTCATGCCCAGGGTGGTCAAGTATTAAGAATAGCACTTTGTTTAAGTGCATTATATAAAATTCCAGTTAAGATTAATAATATACGAGCAGGTCGGCCTAAGCCAGGACTTGCTGCCCAACATTTAAAAGGTATATATTTATTGGTTAAAACATAATTTACATTTATTGTCAAATTACTTTTTGTTTCAATATTATCATAGGAGTGGAACTGTTAAAGAATATGTGTAATGCAGAAGTTCATGGAGCACATATAGGATCAACAGATTTGGAATTTAAACCTTCTCATTTACATGCAGACAAAAATCATACATTCTTTGTAGATACAGGAACTGCTGGTTGCATTTGTTTATTAGCTCAAGTTGCTCTACCCTGTGCTCTTTTTTTTCCACAAAGAGATGTGGTTACATTGGTTCTTAGAGGCGGCACAAATGTACCTATGGGACCACATATAGAGTATCTCACAGAAGTGTTGAGGCCATTACTTAACAAGTTTGGAGCTGATTTTGATTTTAAAGTTATAAAAAGGTCTGTATAATCTATGTAGAGCTGACTACGTTGCTTTTCATATTTTATTATAAGCTACAGATATTACGTAGAGGATATGAACTTTTTAATAATCTATGAAGGGGTTATTATCCAAAGGGAGGTGGAGAAGTACATTTATATGTAAAACCTATACAGACTTTGAAAGCTGTTACTTTAACTGATCCTGGAATTCCTCATGAGATATTTGGATGGGCATACGTTGCAGGTGTTGTTCCCATTAGAGTAGGTATACACTTTGGAGTATTTTCTATTTTTATTATATTTTTCTGAAATAATGTATCTATATGTTTTGCAGGAAGCACACAAAATGGCAAATGATGTAAGATCAATTTTAACAGAAGGTTTGAACAAAAACAGCATTTCAGTGCCATCTATAAATATTGAAGTTTACAAAGAAGATAGATCTGTAGCTATTGGCAATGGATCTGGCATCAAGTAAGATTTAAATGTTGCAGAAAAATTTAGTTTCATGAACTGTATATTCTTAACTAAATGTAAATGGTGATAGTGTTGTATGCACTACCACCGGTGGATGTATTATAGGAGGTTCAGGATTGGGTTCTGGACGTCATGAGCAATTAACACCAGGTACACAGGCTGCTAATGAAATTTTGGATACGATTTTAGCAGGATCTTGTGTTGATGAACATATGCAAGATCAGGTATATATATTTCCGTAAAATAATTATTATAAATAATTTTTTACAATCATGTTACTATCATTTATATATTTTAGTTGATAATTTTGATGACTTTGGCCAGAGGTATGTCTAGAATTAATCTTGGAAGTAAAAAACTTACTTGCCATACTCAAACAGCTATAAAAGTGGTGGAGATGATATTGAACGATTTTAACGTTCATTTTAAATTATGTGAAAATAAAGATGCTGGAGGCAATACTTGTTACACTTTAGAATGTGAAGGTTGTGGATATGAAAACAAAATTATAAGATAAATAACAGTTGTATGCTTTATATCTTAATAAGTACTATTTAAATGCAAGTGTACATGTATATAGTAAGTACATGTATCATGTTTTTCTAAGTTTATTTATTGTATCAAAAATAAAATATATATGATAATTCCTCTTTGGATTTGATTACATCATTTTATTCTTTTAATGTATAATCTAGAAAAGTTATGATAAACGTTATCATTCCTGTTTTTGTCTAAAAAATGGTTCTATTGTTCGTAAAAATTCTCTTTCAAAGACTTCATTTGAAAATCGATTTACTGATGCTCTGAAAAAAAAGAGAAAAAAAATTATGCATATATTTAATAACATTGTTTATAAGTAAAAATGTTTAAAGAACAACAGAAAACTATTAGTACCTAGCTTTTCTTCTAATAGTTTCTCTAGGCTCTGAATCCATCCTAATAATACGTGCTATTTCTGTTGCATACTCTTTAGCTTCTGTAGCTAAAAATCCATTTTGAGACCCTGGTTGTGTTTCTATTATATCAACTCTGTAATAATATAAAGAATACAGTAATTAACGTTTCAGTTTCGCTTTCTAAGTACATATTTTGTAGATTCTATATATTTAATTAGATATTACTTTGGGCCACCAGAAGCATGAGCTACTACAATTAATCCTGCTGCCATGCATTCAACAATGCTGATACCAAAATGTTCATTCCACATTGTGTGTAAACCTATCGTAGCTCGTTGAAGTTCCGAGAGAAGTTCCGGGTATGGTAAATTTAATTTAAACTCTACGTTTTCATCTAATGCAAAGTGTTTAGATAAATCTTGCATATCTTCCATACGTTTTTCGTCTTCAAAATTTCGACAAGAGCCAATTAGAACTAATCGTATCTGAAAAGATGATGCAATGTAGTAAGAGTTGTTAACACGAGGCTAATTTGTATTATTAAATTGTACTATGTTTACTTTTTCCCAAACTTCTTCTTTAACAATTGACCTAAGTTCGTACATAGCTTTCAGCATTAATGGATGATTCTTTTCTGGTCTGAATTGTGCAACTGAAACTATACGAATAGTATTAGATTTTTCATCGTCGCTGAGAAGTGGTAGAGATAATAAATGTTTCACATCGCACGGTGGATAAATTTTATGAGTCTTTAGCGGACATTTCCAAATTGTGTTAATGTGTTCTTCAGTCCATGAAGAATTTACCATTACAATTTCGGCCGTGCTACCAACCCATCCATAAACCTGAAGTAAGAAATACAAATTACAATACCGAAGTACAATAATTTAATCATTTTTCTGTACATACATATCCAAAGAATTTATAATATACAAGCTTGGCTGCTGATAAAAATGGATTCCTGGCTATAACTCTTTTATTAGTATGCGAGATGACCCTTTTATAAACATGTCTTAACATATCAGTTGAAATTGTGGGATAATGAGTATACGTTGCTACTCGACATCCACCAATATATCTAAATAATGGATAAGTGAATGCATAACCCATGGTATCAATGTAAATATCTAAAATAATATTTTCTATATGTGTATATCCATCAAGCACACACAAACACACGCATAATTAAAAATAACATGTTGCATTTAGAATAGAAAATGGTAATTGAAATTAATACGAAGGAATACTTTCTTACCTGGAACATAGTTATTTAAAGCTTCAATACCCAGCCAAATAGATCCTAAACTTTGTCCCAAAAGTGTAAAATAAGGATACTTTGAAGCTTCCACCCATGCACGTCTATGTAAATATACAAATTCAACTTTACATTCAATTTTATAATTAAATACCTTTTTTGTTTTGTTAAGTATTTGTTCTGGATGAGCTTCAAGATCTCCAGTATAGATAACTATGTGCACATTGGGATATCTGAAAAAATAATTTGAGATTGGAGAAATTATTACGTATATGTATTTTATTATTAATCAATGGTGATAAAATGTGTATACCTGGTTTGTATAGCATTGACTGCAGCCCAAAGTACTCTTTCACCACCACCACCTGAATTACAATATGGATGAAAAAAACCCACAACTGTTTCCTTTTGTGATCTTTCAGTTCGCTTTTTGGAATATTGTCTTCTCCAAATAATTAGTAAAATAATAGAAGTACAGAATATAGCTACTACTACTATTAACAGATTTATCAAGAACATGATAAGTGTCCTAAAAGAATAAAAGATTGACAAGCATACAGAAAATTGACTTAAAAAAAGATTTCAATAAAATATAAGGTTTGTACAAGATATGTGAAATCTTACATAAGAAAATGAAAATTCATGATACTTTGGTTGTTGGAATAGTTGAAAATATAACAAGTAATTTTTACATGTGCCTCGTATATTTTTCTATATTTTACGGAATTATTATTGCGCACGTTTAGCGACCATCACCTACTTTAAGTAATTAACGCGCAACGTGGCGTTAGAAATAATTTTATTCAAGTTTCATTGCTATTTGAAATATTTTCTCCTTCGTTGTCTCGCACATTATTCAACATACGTAAACGTATACCGGGATTTAATAAAATGAAATTAACGATCGACGAAGTTGAACGAACGGTATGTTTCTTCAAAGTAACACGGACCAAATGTTTATTTGCAATTGGAAAATATTCTGATTTTATTTCTTATTACATTAACATTGACTTTGCCGCTATTTTATTCCTCTATCTTTAAGATAATAGCTATTAAGAGCAGAGAACATTTTAATTCAACGTATTGAAAAATGTTGCACGAAATTTCGTAGTTTAATGGTTGAAAACATAGCAGAATCCACTGAACGTGTGTGCAAGCTAAAGGTTTCTTTACAGTGATTGACAATAGTTATTACTTTGAACATTTTTATAGTAAAATTCATATTTGATTTTTAGTATTTAATTATACTACTTGAATTGAACTTGAATACCTTCGTTGTGCGTTTTGATATACGAGAAACGAGGAATAAGATAAAGAAGAAAATAAATTTAAACTTTTTGCATTTTTTGGTTACAGGCCTTTACTTGGATTCGCGTATCCCTGAGACTAACCAAACCCTTAAAATTTTCAGATTGATGAAAGCACCTCGGTAAAGTATCAACGTGATTCAGTGTCACAGATGTGAGCAGAAATCCGTTGCCTGTGTGTTGTCTGTCAGTATGAATACGCATGTAGTTTATTGCAGTATAATCGAATAATTTTTGCTGAATTTCGTCTATTTTTTTAGTTGGTGTTATATTTAGTAAAATATAAGTAGATAATCAGGTTTTTACTGTAATTAATTTTGACAATCCTCGGGGTTACTGTAGTGTTGAAAAAATCGAAGAAAATTGCCAAATCTAACGTAAATTGAAAAATCTCTGTGTAAATAATAAATTTATACATATATGTTGACTTGATAGTTGAGATCGGTGAATAAGATTTTGCGAGTAATGTATTCCTCTTCGATGGTACATAGCGTGTGTGAAATAGTGAAAAAACTGAAATACAAAATTGAATTTTTCCCTTCGACGAAAGTATTTTGTTTAATTTCCAAGGCTTACTGGTACGTATTCTTCTTTTTATATTTTCTCAATTGTATATAATAGAATTTAAAAGCGCGTTGAATCATTTTGTTTTACGGATATGACAGTTATATGCTCCACATTAACGAACAATAGCACGAACGAACGATATCAAATCACGATGTAATTCGTTTCATTGGCTATTTTATTTGACAGTAGCGCTGATTAATTCGCAGGATTTTCTTTTACGCTTTTTATCAGTATTTTATCTATAATTCGCTGCAACGAATTATGTATTTTTGTATATTTTTCGTTGACACATTTTCCATACGATTATTTCGATTCTCGCATGTTTCACTTGAAACATTTATAAAAGTACTGCCAAGTAAAATATTTTAAACAAACAATTGAAATAATATATTCATCTATTTGCAATATTATTTTGTAGAAGAAATGGATGCAGTTAAGAAAAATCCAACAATAGAAGAGAGCCATCAACTTGATAAAATAAGTACTACAGGTAACCTAATACTTGCATTATATCTTATTATTCACAAAGCTACAAGCTATAATTTTTGCAATATTCTTATGTCAACTAATTCCATTATGTTTGAATTCGATTATTGTTCTTTATAGGACACACCGATAAAGAAGAACGAGCAAATGCAGAGCTGGCATCGACGAAAGAAGAGTAAGTGACTTGTTTGTACCACGAACATTGATACAAAATAGAGTACACGTGTTTTGTTTTGTATATAATTTTGTATTTATTTTTAAACAGATCCGATAGTATTATCATTTATCGCTAATTATTTAACAGTTGTCAACTAAACCGAGGACAAATAATTTTCTTTACCATTGTTGCTTCCTACTTATTACTGCCGATAGATCGGTACTGTTAATACAGCTTGATACTTCAATTCCATAGGATATTTCGGTTGTTCGAAACGTCAAGTAATTTCGTGAAAAAGAATACGAAGTCGAAGACGTAAATTATCGTGCGATAGTTTCTAAGAATTAAGCGACAATGCTTTGACGGTGGAACGCAAAGAATAGAAGAATGTTATTCAGTGATCGTATTACAAAGAACGAACTCGCGATGCTTTTATTTTCTAATCGAAACAGTGGATAGATCGTCTTTCGAAATTTGATAGTCGTCGATCGATCGTGTTCTAATCGGCAACTTGTGCAGCAAGTACGCTTCTTCCGTTTCCCCAACTGGCCTTACCTTTAAACCGACCGATTCGAGAAATATGCACGAATCTTTACGTTCTAATTAATTACGATATTCAATATACAAAGTGTAAAATTCATTTGTGTCGTAATGCGGAAGTCGTTAAGTACGTGGAAGTATAAATTGTTGAGTTCGAGGAAAAATTTTTGGTAAGTTAGTTTTCTTCTAACTGTTGTTAACCTTCCTGTTTCTTCGTTTCGACTTGACAAAGAAGCCGAGACAATTGTTGTTTCAACAGCGTCGAATAAATAGCGCGATTTGATTCGTCGAAGGGAAAAGGTAGACGGCGAAAAATGTATTCCACGATAGGTAAAACTGGAGCACGCCTTTCTCTCTCGTCCAACCGATACTTGCTCGATCCGTGCTCACATTTTACCCGTTCAACGTGTTTCACTTGCATTTCCATTCGAATCTCTTCTCTCTTCCTCTCTTTCGCAACGTTTTTACGTCGTTCGATCGAAATTAAATCGCGAATGTAATTTTCGGTTCGGTTCAATTTTCTTCTGCTGTTTTATTTTTCAACGTGTTTTCGATTCGTTTGCTTTGTCGAAAAAACGGAAAGGAAAGAAGCTGCTTTTACGAAGCAGCCGAAGGAAAGAAAACAAGATAAAGGTTTGCGGTTTTACCAGTTCCTCGTCAATTACGTTATCACCGGCTATTTAAGTGTTGAAAAAAAATTGGCAAATTGTTCACGATGTATCGTGACAAACATCTAACAACTTGTCTCGATTGACGAAGAGGTACTTGAACAATTACGAGTGTTGAAATTGAAAGTATAAATTGTGCCAAGTGTAAAAGAGCGTTCCATCGAACAGTATCATCGATCGATCAGTTCTTATTGTTTCTTATTCGTTTCTTCCGGGAGACTTCGAAATCAGATCGAATTCTATTTGACTTGTCGCGAAGCGCAGACTCAACATTTCGACGCTTAAGCAGATCAAATGAACGTGAAAGCAAACATTGCAGCTTATATCTTGGGACGCGACGACGGTGGTATATAAAAGAGGCTGACGAGAACCGTACCAGTTCTTCTTTCTCTTCGTTTATAGTTGGAATTTCTTGAATTTCGTCTGAAATTCAACTTGTTCGATAAGATCGATGTAAAGTACGTAGAAAGAGAGGTTTTCGAAATGGATAGAACGGTGAATCGAATTCGAATTACGAAGTACGCTCTGCCTTTCGTGCATCGAACGCACTTTGTGCGGCAAAAGTCGGCTTCTTCGTCGCAGCTTCACGAAGACAATATGGTTGAAAGCGTGAAACTGATCGGGTCAGTAGTTTTCTCCCGCTTATCGCTTCTTCGAAAGCTAATCTAATTAATATATTGAAAAATCTGTGTACGGAGAAGAAAGTGGCGCGGGCGGAAAGCGTGACGAATTATTTCCCTTTCGTGCTTAAACACCGTCATCTCGAAGCACGTTCTCCGTTTGCCGCGGATGTTAAGGGAGTTTTTGCAACCGGAAAAGAACGGGTGGAGAGCAACGATGGACGATAAGAGAAGGTCGTGTGCAACGGTTAGTCCTTGTAAGAGAGCAAACGAGCGGTCGAATGTGTGCCGTGAGCAAAAAGACGGGATCATGAGGCATAGCGATTACAAGAGTTATCAGTCGGTCGGTGATATCAATTCGAGTCGAGTACACATACGCGCGTATTTGGTGTTGTTCGCCCCACTATACGGCCACTCTGATTTCCTTCCAATTTAATCGCCCAGGAAGTCGATGCTCCTTTCGAATTTCTTTCCCACTTTTGCAATTATTGCAACGCTTATCAACCGTTCTCTAGTTTCAAATTCTTAATCACCCCCCTCGATGCTTTTTAGTCCCCGACCGAATTACCATTTTCCGCGTAATCTGGCAAACGCAGCGGATCGGATTATTTTCAACCGTAGAACGGGACTTGTTCCACGTTGTTAGCTAGAAAGATGGACAACGATAGACAACCCTTGATTGGAAAAACGTACGACTCGTTTTGGTAAGATTTCTCGAATTAAATAACGTCGATGTGTCGTTGATATCGTCGATCTTTCCTTATCTCTCGAAACGGACGATAGACAACCAGCTGTATACACATACACATGTATATTAACTTTTTCTTTCGATCTACGTGCAAAGAAACGAGAAAACATTTGGTATGGCAAACGTTGCATCGGCGAGCCGCCTTTCAGTTATCTCCTAATTTCCGATATTTGCATTAACGATTGAACAGGCGAGTTATGCAAATGGAAAAGTTACGTAGATAAGATGGAACGTATGCTACGTACCAGTAGAAGTGAAAAAGTAAATACCGTAAATGGCGTTGTATCGGTAGTGAGTGGTAGTCTTCTGTATCGGTGAACGCGATTTTAAAACTTGACGAATCGATAACGGGGATAATTATGCAGTTTGCCAATGAGCATTTCGAAGTCGAGGACAACTTGTCGAACGATTTTCCTCGGTGGTATTCTGGTATATCCGCATGATAGCTATAGCTAGGCTTTTCAAGCAAATCAAACCGATAACGATAAAGTTATTTTTTCTCGAAAATTATCGACAGCTCGAGACGTTGCGTGTGTACTCGTTCATTCGCCGATCGTGAATTCCCCAGGACAAATTGCAGCAGTTTCCCGATATAACGATTGTGAAAAGATGTTTTCGCGTTGTTCAGGGATGGCGAGGACGAGGCCGATTACGAGGATACGACGGCACATATGATCCGCGTACCTCGGAAGAAGAAGTCAACGATGAAGGTTAACATCGAGGGAATGAGCTGCCAGAGCTGCGTGAAGAGTATCGAGGGAAGCATAGGCGGTCGACCGGAGGTTCTGAGCGTTAAGGTGATCCTGGAGGAGAAGCTCGGTTACGTCGAATACAAAACGGAGGAAATTACGCCTAGCGAACTGCTCGAAGCTATAGAAAACATGGGCTTCGAGGCTTCTTTGTACGAGGAAGAAATTACTAGCACCGATGGCACGCAGAACAACCTTTCCTCGCAGTCTGTTACCAGTAATTGTAGTATACATGTCGATGGAATGACTTGTATGTCTTGCGTTCAATCAATCACGGGTGAGTAATAAATAGTGTAACGAGTAACAACGAACCAGTACCGTAACGAACTTTTTTCTTCTTCCGACGCAGCTGTCTTGACGGACAAATCAGGAGTAAAAGACGTGAACGTTAGCCTGAAGGACAAGGAAGCTAAGGTTTCTTACGACGAGAATGCTGTAACTGCCGAAGAAATATCGGCTTTCATCGAAGAAATGGGTTTCACAGCGTTCGTTAAGGAAATAAACGACAAAGTTGTTGGAACACCGGTAGAGACGTCGTCGTCGTCGAATGTTAATCCCGTAAAAGACGGAGAACCTTTGTTGCAAATGAACGGAGGGGGCGATGTAAAAGCACGGAATCAAACGGCGAAATGTTTTTTACACATAACGGTAAATATTAGGCGTAAAGGACGGAAGGAAGATGAATGAAAGTTGCACTATTATTTTTGCTTAATCGATCGATCGATTTGTTTCTTCAAGGGAATGACCTGTGCGTCCTGTGTCGCTGCCATAGAAAAACATTGTAAAAAGTTGTACGGTGTAAGTAACATCTTGGTAGCGTTGATGGCTGCCAAGGCAGAAGTTACGTTTGATCCGAGTAAAATAAGGGCGGTAGACATCGCTTCCAGTATATCTGAATTGGGCTTCCCTACTACTTTGATCGAGGAACCGGGGACTGGACAGGGAGAGATCGAATTGAAAGTAAGTTCTAGAGTTGAACGGTTGTTCGCGTTCAAGTCGTCTACTTTATAATTCATTCGTTCTGATTTCGTAGATTGCAGGTATGACGTGTGCATCTTGCGTGAATAAGATAGAATCGACTGTAAAGAAATTGCCAGGTGTTCATTCGGCTGCAGTTGCGTTAGCAACGCAGCGTGGTAAGTTCAAATACGACGTGGAGAAACTTGGCGTTAGAGATATCATCGAGTGCGTTAATAAGTTAGGTTTCACTGCAACGTTGTTCAGTAATAAGGACAAGGAAAATAGGGACTATTTGGACCAAAAGTAAGCCTTTATCTCTCTCTCTCTCTCTCTCTCTCTCTCTCTCTCTCTCCCCCCTCGATAAATACACGTATCTTTCGCTTGTGCAGAGAAGAAATAAACAAATGGCGGACAGCGTTTTTAGTGTCTTTAATTTTTGGTATACCATGTATGATAGCCATGGCGTATTTCATGATAGATATGATAGTTGGTGAGAAAAAACACGAGGACATGTGTTGTGTAGTACCTGGTCTTTCTTGGGAGAACTTAATTCTTTTCATATTTTCTACGCCAGTACAGGTAATTACGAGTATCTATTATTTTTCGAGAGACCGTTAACGAAACGATCCGCAAACTTGATGGAATAATTTTCACAGTTTTTTGGTGGCTGGCATTTTTACGTTCAAGCGTACAAAGCTTTAAAACACGGTACAACTAACATGGATCTTTTAATTTCTATGACCACTACGATATCTTATTTGTACTCGGTTGCCGTACTTACAGCAGCCATGATAAAGCAGGAACATGTTAGTCCTCAGACATTTTTCGATACTCCCCCGATGTTGCTAGTGTTCATCAGTTTGGGGAGATGGTTGGAACACGTTGCAAAGGTTTCATTCCCTTCTTTCTACATGCCTATATTGCCTATTTACGTTCTTCGCCTAATACAAAATAACGATTTGTTTTTTTTTTTTTTTCAGGGCAAAACGTCGGAAGCTTTATCAAAGTTATTGTCCCTGAAAGCAACGGACGCAGTTTTAGTCACGTTAGGTCCCAACAGTGAGATTTTGTCTGAACGTTTAATCAGTATAGATTTAGTACAACGGGGAGACGTGTTGAAAGTGGTGCAAGGTGCCAAAGTTCCCGTCGATGGTAGAGTTTTGTCGGGGCATTCTACTTGCGACGAGAGCCTAATAACTGGAGAAAGTATGCCTGTGCCAAAGAAGAAAGGATCGGTCGTGATAGGTGGTTCGATAAATGTAAATGGTCCGCTCCTAATTACTGCCACGCATACCGGAGAACACACGACGTTGGCACAAATTGTACGATTGGTAGAAGAGGCACAAACGAATAAAGCACCTATTCAACATTTAGCGGATAAGATAGCGGGTTACTTCATCCCCCTTGTAATAGCCGTTTCTATAGTGACTTTGATCATTTGGACGATAGTGGGATATGTAAATATCAATAATTTACCAATTTTGCACAATGATCAAATTGACAAACACGGTATAAACAGGGAAGAGATTATATTTCAATATGCTTTTCGAAGTGCTCTTTGCGTATTGGCGATCGCATGTCCATGCGCGTTAGGATTGGCCACACCGACCGCTGTTATGGTTGGTACTGGTGTTGGTGCGTTAAACGGTATTCTAATAAAGGGTGCTGAGCCTTTGGAAAATGCGCACAAAGTTAAATGTATTGTATTCGATAAGACTGGAACAATAACGCATGGTGTGCCAATGATAACGAAGATAAGTCTTTTCGTGAACGAAAAAGTTTGCTCGCTAGCAAAATTCTTAGTGATTATTTGTACTGCCGAAACAAATAGCGAGCATCCGATCGCATCAGGTAACATATCGAACTTATTTACATTCCTTATTATTATTCGTTATTCAGATCGTTAGGCTTAATAAATTATCTTTTTTCTCAAGCGATTGTTCGCTATGTAAAGGAAACCATTGATTCCGAAGCAACAGGACAATGCACCAACTTTCAAGCGGTTGGTGGTTGTGGACTTAAATGCAAAGTATCGCATATTTCGACAATTTTGGCTCATGCGTTCAAATCAGAAGCAATTGTTAACTATGTGAATCAGGTGAAAAATTTATCTTCTGGAACGTACACTTTGAACAGTGTACCGATCGATACTGCGCCAATTTCGAGTGCGAGTCAGGAAAGACTAAATCTGGATCTAGAATTATTGCTCAGTCCGGATTCCCACGGTGATGAAACTAACGCAGACGATGAATATGAGATTTGCATCGGTAACAGAGAGTGGATGCTAAGGAATGCGGTAAATATACCTCAAGAAGTAGAGCAGAAAATGGTTACCGAGGAAGATTTGGGCCATACTGCTGTTTTAGCAGCGGTGAATAACGTATTGGTCGCTATGATCAGTGTCGCTGATACGGTTAAACCGGAAGCCCATCTGGCAATTTATACTTTAAAAAAGATGGGCTTAGAAGTTATACTTTTAACAGGAGATAATAGAAAGACTGCTGCTTCCATTGCCAGACAAGTAAGCTTCCATTTTCAGTATATTCTTACGAATTTTTTATAATATCTATCGTTCGTGTACATGTAGGTCGGTATCACCAGAGTATTCGCAGAAGTCTTACCTTCGCATAAAGTTGCTAAAATTCAGCGTTTACAAGATCAAGGTTTAAGAGTTGTAATGGTAGGAGATGGTGTTAACGACAGTCCTGCTCTTGCACAATCAGACGTTGGTATTGCAATCTCTTCCGGTACAGATGTTGCTGTAGAAGCTGCCGATGTAGTCCTTATGCGAGTCAGTTCAAGAAATTCTTCTGTTTTTCAAAAGCTTATCTTTACATACCACGCTAACGCTTACTGATATGAACTTTTTAGAACGATCTCTTGGACGTTATCGCTTGTCTGGATTTATCGAGAAAAACAGTCCGCCGAATAAGGCTGAATTTTTTATTTGCCAGTATTTACAATTTGCTGGGTATTCCTATTGCTGCTGGAATATTTAGTCCTTTTGGATTCTTTCTTCAACCATGGATGTCATCAGCGGCAATGGCACTAAGTTCAGCATCCGTAGTTGGCAGTTCTTTGCTCTTAAAATTGTACGTATCGAGCAGCGAGTAAAGAAAAATTTCATAGGTAGAGTATTCTATAGTGATTTACTTTTTTCTCTTTTATCCAATAGATATCGCAAACCGACAAAGGTTACCCTAGAAACACCAGAGTATTTGTCGGCGATGCAAGCTCATTCTACGGCAAGAATGATCGAGTTAGATACGATATCTCTTCATCGCGGTTTAGACGATACTCCAATACCTATTATGCACAGATCGACGTCGACGCTATCCAGGTACGGTCAAACAAATTCTATGCTTTCAAAATTCGTGCGGAACTATAATAATCCTATTGCTTGATGGAATTGCGGCTAAATGATTTTAACAATGTAAATTATCGTACTAATTCAATCAAGCTGTTAGTTTTGTTGGAATTTATATGCTTGTTGTTCATTATTTTAGTTACCAGTATTGTATTATACTAACAAACGTTAAAAGTGATTAACTGAGCTAAATGAAAATTGTAGTCAAATTACTAATTCAATTGTACGTGTTTAATACGTAGGTAGTATGTTTTTTATTGTTATCGAACAGTTTTAATTGTATTGCAAACGATTAAAACGGGCTGTGAGTTTCAAACTAATTTTATGAAAAACTGCAAAAGACAATTTTAATTAAATACTGTACTACTATTGTAAGTTTATACCAAATGTAATAATAATTTCAATTATTGTATAAAAAGACTTTGTAAATAAATATTAATATTTTTTTTAAATATACACGTTATCTATTGAACATGTTACTTGATCCTAAGGAGTGACTAGTTTATATCAATCTTTCGTTTGTATATTATTTTGCATGTTTTTACTATACAATATTTATTTTGTGTGATCTGCATATGTTTGTCAGTTGGAAATTGTCTCGGAAGTTTATAATGTTACAGCAATATTCGAAGAGGCACTACTTATAAATCTCTCTATTGATTGAAAGGAGAATGTTCTCTAGCACCTTTTTTCTTCAGCTAATTTGGCATTGTGTCCTGCTAATCTGCTTACTAGTAGGAATAATGGTATGAAGTATATTGTGACTAATTTGGTTATTGGATTTACGTCTTGTATCAGATTAAGTAACATTTTGAGATTCTTCTAATGCTTATTCTATAGCAATTAACAGTATTGCATTTAGATCGATTGCGGCAATATTATAACGTACATACATAGTTTGATAGAAAAAAAAAGTCTGATGTAGTTGTATAATATTGTTGAATTGAGAATAAATCATCTTTAAATATGAATGAAGGTAATATGTGTTTTAATTCGTACATCGATGTTTTAACATTGTTTTAATAAACGTATTAATTCTCTTGTGTTATCTGTCTCAATTGCAGGCTATTCAGAAGATCCAAAGATGATGTAGAGGGTCGGCTTCTGGGCGACGATGTCGATGAAATAGATTTGGTAATGGATTTTTCTGGTTATCGGAAAAGTATGAAGGATCATACAAACATTACTCCCCTGTGACTTGTAAGAATCTCTTCCTTCAATAATTTGTACTATCTGTACACATATATGTGGTATCTATGCAGGTTCGTGTTTTTTGTTTGATAGGAATGAATATATTTTACATGAGTGATGAAATTACAATAATTGAACTAAAGCTAATTGGATATTAATACAATTTGACGACGACTCTTTCGCGAGACACACACCACACAACGACGACGATGGCTTTCGCCTCGACAATACCAATAACAACCCCCTTGCCTTCGTTGCTCTCTCTATTTATCCTAAACCGATTCCTTTATTCCGCATTCTCCCACTACATACTTCTCTCGCACTCGTACGTCATCCAGGCACCTCGCGAAGGGTCTACTTAGCTGTTCGGCTCTATGGTTTATTGCCCTTGGGGGCAACTCAGGTATAGCTGGAAATTTTTCGATACTACATGTATTCTCTGTCAATATTCTTCAAATTTCTTGCCATCCACCAAGTTGACTGTATCACTAAAGTATACTTTTCGTTCTGCGATTGTTCTAAAATGTTCTTCATGATTACTTGTTAAGCTTAAATTACCGTTAAGTTTTATAAAAGTAAAAAAAAAGAAAGGGAAGGAGAGAAAAAAAGAAAAATTTAAAGATCCTTAATGGTGCTTTTATACATTTATTACTTTTGTTTCTTTGTTTTTATGTAAACTTTATAGTATTATAATATTCATGCTTTTCGATTACTGGAAATGAAGTTGTTCATGATTTTTCGTACTGAATTGTATGTTTTGTACTTAATGCATTTTATATTAAAAATGCAATCAATGTTTTACAAAAAAAAAAGACAATACTATTAGTACATTTCGATAATAAGTATTATGAAAGTGATAGGTAAAAAGTTAATTGGGACCATGTTTTGGGTCAAGTGTGTACAAATTTGAAATGCCTTAAATTTTATCAAAATAGAAATTATATTTTATTTACTTCAAATACACAATGAGTTTTCACCACTTCGATGAATTTTAATTAGGATTCTCACATACAGTGTATGTTACCTATTAGGCTGCAGCAGCTCAGTTTACATAGAGTTACATTCAGTTTTGCTTTTTACCTATTATAAATATTCTTAGAACATATTTTCTTTATAAAAACGCAAATTTTTATATTTATGGACAGAAACAGATTGTATAGAATAATTTGTACCTTAACGTATTATGTTCATTTCGTGTTTAAAACTATGATATATATATTTAAAACATTTTCAAGGTTTACCTGAAAGTGATATTAAACTTATGTATATACTTACATTTTTTGTGTGCTATATATTTACCTTAACCATAGAAAGATAAATATTCATAGTACAAAATTTTACATACACTGAAATGCTATACTATTTTAGTTAATACTGATCAATCATATTAGCACAGGATGGAATACATGTATTTGCTTCTGAGAGAAAATTATCTGGTATTATATTTGAGCTGGTAGTGTGATTAAAGGTTTGTTGCATGTGGCTAACATCATCATTAGAAAGATGTGCTAAATTTTTATTACGTATTATGTAGTATGGATTTGTATGAATAGGTAAGTCAAGGTTTCCTTGTTCTTTTGAATGATTTTTAATTACAGTCAATTGATGAGGAATTGTAGTATTTTTTATGTTATAATATGATTCCAAGTTAGTGATGTGAGGAATGCAAATTGATTGTGTATTTTTCCATGACTGATGATTGTTGTTTTTATCGATCAAAGTCATATTATTCCATTTATTTAAATAAAAGTTTGGATTCAACGAGCAATTGTTATCTTGAAGTGAACAATGTATGTCATTTTGTTGTGGAAATTCATTACTACTACTTAAATTTTCATATGGTACATTTGAATCAGATATATTACAAAGTATATTTCTGTTTCCGTATCTACAACTTTGATGTTCTTCAGAAAGGATATTTGGTGTATTTTGTATATTATCTGATATACTTATGTTGCTATGCATTTGCTCATTATAGTTCATATACATGTGGTTGTAACTGTTACTGGTTGAAGAAGTTTGGTCACTATAAAGATGTTTATTCTCTATTCTGTTACTTAGATTATGTACATTCAGAGTGTCTGTAAACTGCAATGCATCATTTTTGAAATTTGGTTGGAGATTTTCATATATATTTGAATTTTCATCTAAATATTGATTTTCACTAAGGCTATTGCAATTTGAATTTGTGAATATGTCTTTGCTGTTTCCAAAACAGTTCTTTTCCTTGTCAGAAACAGATATACATTCTGCTTGATCAGAGAAGTAATTTTTTTCATTAACCACATTATGTGTATTATTTAAGAGGCTTGTAAATGGTGGTAAGTTTTTATTAGTTCTGTAATGACCATCTGATTTATATTTCACAAATAACACCTTTAATTCATCTTGTGTAAGTGTTGGATATTTTAAAGATTGTTTGAATTTCAGATTTAATTGTTGAATTTGATATTCATACATTTCTTTGTTATATTTCAAAAGCATGTTTGAGGCATTTAAATTTTTAGAAACTTTATCAGATTTGCTTCTGCCTTTTTGTTTGACTTTCTGTTTTACATTCTTGTTTTTACACTGCTGTAGTAAAGCACTTTGTTTTTTCTTTTTTACATTCTGTAAATGCATGATTTACACTTAGCTTTCATTTTTTCCACTAACGAAAACGAATCAATATAATACGAATATCTTACCAAATTTTTATTTTTGAATGTACCATCAATACTTCTGCCTTCACTAATTTGCATGTGTAGCTTTGGTTCTTTCTTTCCCTTAATCATATTGATATCTGAATTGAAAAAGAAATTTATAATACAGTAATTACATTAATTTAATGTTGCATTCTAAAAAGCTTTTATATGAGAAAAGACGATATAAAAACATACGATCTAACAATGTAACGAGAATACTGTATACGATTAATAAAGGCGTTGATATTTCTCATTAATTAATTAATAAGAAATGAAGAAAAAGATAATAATTCCTTCTGTATTTAACTTTGAAATCTTTCGTTTGAACAGTAGCTTACTTTCTGTCATTCCGATTGTTTAGACAACCCACGTGAAATATGCGACAGATTGCAGATGTGTTTCCCGCTAAAGTATTTATTTTTCTTGAGTGGCTAATATCTCTTTACTGATCGAAAAGTGTTGATGTTTCAGCTCGAGCATAATATTTAAATCTATTATTATCCGTTTTGAATAATTGATCGTTTCTTAGATCATTACGATTTGATTGTAATTGCCTTTTATTACACGCTTTTTTTGTGAATGTTTCTATTTCCGTAGAATTCTACAAGAACGTTAGTCCATTGTTTCCCCTATTATCATCATCATCACGTGAAATGGCTTTTTATTATCCAGTTAAGTAATATTGTAATTACGATAAAACTTTATAAAATTAAATTTAGTACATTTATCGGAGATACTGTTTTTCTACCATTAAACGAAAACGTAGTAATTATTTAGGCATAACGTACGTATGTGTAGTAATAATTGAAAATTGAAGAAAAATGTTTGAAGTTCTTTATTAAAACATTTCTGTTTCTTTGTCTTAATGGAAGAGATGGAAGGGTAAAGAAATGGACAACACATAACTGTTGCATTTAATACAAAAGCATGCATATTTCGCTTTATTTATTTAATTAAATTAATACCACACATATTAAAAACTTTAAATATGAATTAAAGAGAGAGAGAGAGAGAGATAATATAACGTATCTTAACTTTATTTATAACAATTAAGGCACTTGTTTTGTTCTTCATTATTATAGCTGAAAAGAAATTGAAGAGAAACGAAGTCTTGAGAATTGTCAAATACAGAATTTAATATGCTTCTAACTAAGTATATCACATTAACTTACACAGGCAGGGAACAGTTTTGACAAAATAGCTCTGAGCAACTAGTGCATTCAAAGAGGCAAGAAGAACATAAAACTTGATCACAGTAAGAACATTTACTAAACATGCTCTGATCAATTATTCGATTGCATTCACAAAGATCATACCTTGGTTGAACATCCTCAAGAAAGATAGAGAAAAAACAAGTCATTAATTTTATTCAATATTGTATAGAAAACCTTTACGCTTATTTTGTTTGATATATTTTTAAAATAAAAAGATTTTCCAATATTGTCAACGATGATAAATATACAATAAGATAAACCTACCATTAGTGGTAAGTAAACGACTTACCTTTATAGCTTTATCTGCTCCTAATAATTCTAACTTGCTATTCAATACCATTTGTGTTTTTAAGTTGCGTTCAGTTTTGAACTTGCAAGGGGAAGGTACTTTCGACGACGGTATAGCATCAATCGGATTTAATTCCATGGACGTATTTAATTGTCGCGACAGTGTCTTGACACCCTCTTTTAATAAATCCATTGTTTTGCCTATACGAAGTAAAGAAAAAAAGATATGTTCTTACAGTATCATTTGATTTCCTCGTATTATAACCTCCGTACCATATACAATTTTCATTCGTTCTTCTCGACAGACGCCGTTGTCTACTTGTTTTTGACCTACGTGTACCTTTAATTGGGGCGGCAAATCATCCTCAAAGGGACACGGACGTTTCGGCATTCTTCAACAATGATTAATATTAAGAACTGCAAGAAGAAGGGAAGTTTAAAATTTTCGCAACATCGTCCCGCGACGAATTAGACACAACACAGGGATTCGTGCAGGGTTCTCGTGTATCTTGCGTAGGTATACATACATGCGTATATCTACTACGTTCTTAACGTCGTACGTTAAACGTGTTTTCAAATACGACATTTGAATCGATATTACTCGTAATTTTTCCAACGTAAAAAGTTCATTTGCGAGTTAATACGTTAAACGTGTTTTCGAATACGACATTTGAATCGATATTACTCGTAATTTTTCCAACGTAAAAAGTTCATTTGCGAGTTAACGTATAAATAGAACGTGTTACCAGTTCCTTTAACAAGTACAAACAACAATATCGTATACAGAATGTATAGGGAATTAAGTTTACAACGAAATTAGTAATGTTTGTTTATTAGTAATGTTGCATTATTATTACTTTTATACATATTTGATATTGGCCATCAACAAATATGTTACAATTTTCATCTCCCCACACTCTCGTGTTTATTCGTTTGCTTGAAAACTAACGATATTATTTTATAATAATACATAATAATTCATAGTCATTGCGTGACAAGTACCAGTAGTATTCGTTAGTACAATAACTGTACACTGTATTTGTAGCTCGCTTCACAAGTAAACTGTACAAAAGAAAGAAAGAAAGAAAGAAAGAAAGAAAGAAAGATAACCGAATGAAATTATCGGATAAAGTATCATTAAAAGAAATAATCACGATCAATGTCTCTGTTGCATCTATTGGTATATAATCATTGTTTTTCCACTAAAACGATGCATGTTATTTACGGTTGTGAAGAAAGGGACCGCTTAATTGATTCGTGGGACCGTGAGACACTCGAATCGCAATATGCGTACACCGTCGCCGTGCTTCTTAAGAAATTGAACGCTTAAAAAACAAGAGTCTAGTTGTTCGCTACGCGGAATAAGGGTTTCAGGGCCGGATCGTTTCTTCTCTCTTCGTAAAAAAATAGTTTACTGCAAGTGCATTGAATTTAGCGCAAATACCCAATCGTTCTGAAAATGATCGTTCGTTTCTTACCGATGGATAATCGCGAAACGCGGACATTTCCGATGAATCGATAATGCAATCGATAGCTGGTTTAACCTTTAAAACAGCTTCACAGGATTCGCTCGTCTTACGGTTACGTCTTTCAAGCAACGTCTATCTATTTGCCTCGTTATGAAAAGTGTTTAATTTTCTTTTCTTTTCGTAATTTCTTTTTTCGTGAAAGTTTCTTGGAATTCGTCTAATGTGCCGTTTGTTATTATTTCGTGTATTATTGCGCGCCAACGTAAATTTCTTCGTCGATCCCGTAGTGTAGGTTAACGACACGCGAATAGACGTAACCGCTACGTATTCGTTAGAAGTGCTCTTTATTCGCAAAATAAGCGACAAGTATTTCGTAACTTGATCGTAATCGGCTGCATACAGTGAGTACCTAAATCATTGCTGTACGCATGCATCGGTCACATCGATCGGAGAGATCGTCGTTCCATTCCTTCAAATTTCTCGTGAAAACCTCGTGAAAGATGGACATGTTGTTTTTTGCGTCGTTTCACTATGCCGCAACATGTTTTATCAGCGGAAAAAAAGAAGTTGCCAATTACGAGGTTGTTTAAACAACGACGTAGTAAAGTAAGAAAATTCGAAGGAAAAATATTTTCGACGCCGAAACATTTCTATTATATAACACGAATATGGGTTTACGCGATCAGTTTCCACCAGAATTTCGAAGGAAGCTTAAAATCACACAGGCAAGTCAAGCGAAATGGTTTACAATAAGAAATACTTTTCGGAAAACACATCTTCGGACTCACAGCCGTTATTGTCAGTTGTCATGGACGTTACTAAATACTCGGTACATACAACGCGTAACTGGCAAATCGAATCGCTGTACGCCCGGGATCCTTCAACCAGAATATTGATTATGCATCTTTGATATGAACTGTTTCTGAAAATTTTCCTTCTTTACAAGCTTTCACGTAACACGTTTTATCCTTATTCGAAAAATTGCAATTTCTCAAATTTGTCCATTAAAGCGTCTTTCACCCATCACTATCTGCGACACGATACGACGTTTCGTTTCTCTCGTAATAAGTTTGTACGCGATGAAAAATGTTAGTGAAAGACTTCACAGGAAATACATATAATCGATACTCGGAATCGAAGCTCGCTTGCACGAGACACGACTCGCGCGGCGGATCCCTCGTGTACGACATTTCGATTTCGGAACTTTTCATCGTCGAGATATGCCTGTTATTAAAAGTGTGTATCGGTGAGATAGCTAAATGGATGCGCGAAAGCAATATTTCTCGTTGCTACGACTATGAAATATCGATAATTCGGCGCTAAGGGTTTTAGCATCTCCGTTTCTTTCAGTAGCGGTCGAACGTTGACGACAATTAATCGAACCGAATAATTTCCTAATAAATAATAAACGAAACGATACGATACGAAAAAGTGTGCTAAAGTCGAAAGCATCGAATCGGTGCAGATTGGTGTCTACGCGATAAAAAGTGGTACAAAGGAAATCGGTAACCCAGCGAACAGTATACATAGAGCGTGAAAAGAAGCGTCTCCGGTTGTAGCGTGTCTTTCTAGTTGCTTCACTTACGATACAGCGTTCAACTCAACTCTGGAACTATAAATCACGCCTTTGCTAAACTTGATTAACTAATCGGACGTTGTTAGTCGCGTTGCTAGTACGCGACCGTGCAACATCGAATTCGCTAAAGGTGTGCGCCCCCCGACTTATTGTATTCTATCTTAGGACAATGTTCCCTTTCCGCTTTTCCTCCGCTTCTCATTTTCCCCACTAACAACGTTTCTCCGTACGAATCTTTCTTTCCAAGTGAAGGAATTCGTTGAAATATTCCATGAAATAAACGGGGTGATAACGCAGTTAGCGATATTAGAAGGCGCGTTAGTTGGAAAGGTGTCGATAATTGGCGTACGTACATGTAAATACCAAGGTGAATTGGAAGACGAAGCGGAACGGTTAGGGGTTAATCGGTTGGTGTTGTCGCGTGGCCTAATTGATTTTCGCGAATGCATCAAAGCGAACATTGTTCCTGAACGGAATTGTCGATGGTGAAGGTACATAGGTGGTGGGCAACCTTGGTCGATTCGAGCTGCTCCTTGTTCGCTGTGCACCGCATCGCCCGTACGGAGATTCGTAAATACACACGATAATTATACGAACGCGTCTGAAGCAGGATAATAATCGAGAGAGAATATTCGACAATAGGTAATGTATCGATCAGGCGCCGCGACGCGTCACGGCAGCCTCTTGTTATCGAAGGAAGGTAAAGGGGAGTGTGCGACAGAATTTTAGCGGAAATACTGTAGTTGGCTCGATTTCCGTTCGATACGACAATATTATTTTATAGAATTGGTTGAATCGAATCTCTCGAACAAGGCTGCCGCGATGCAGGCTCGCGAAGAGCAGCAAGCACGCGCCCGCGTACACGTGTATTGTGTATAACAAAAGGTCAACAAGTAAACGTGCGATAAATCAATCGATTGCAAATCGCCTTATAAATTGTATAAAAATTCTCTATCTGCCTAGCTTAATGCCTTAAGGATTACGGGGTGTCGGGAATTTGTATAATTCCTACAGGTTTATGCCCACTCGTGCAGCTTCTGCTCGCAAATCTCGTCTCTAGTCACCAGGAAAAGCACGCATGCCCTCTGTGCGCGCGGCGACAAACGTTTACACTTTCGTTTCTTCCCATTCTGTGCTCTTCTATACGAGTACGCGGTACGGCTCGTACGATAAAACAGATAGAAAGAAAGAAAGTATCGTCGAGAAGGAGGATGTCGCGCGTCGGCACACAGAGCGGTCATGTGAGGCAAAAGCGAGTCGAAAAATAAATCGGAGACACGTGAGGGTTAGCGAGTATTATTAATTGTCCGTAGAGCTACATTAGGCGTGACAAGTGTGGGTGGCGAGCGCGTGCGCCACACGGCACGCCCAATTGCAACGAAAAAACAGAAAGTGGCCCAGAGATATCTCATACCCGGGACCGGTTTAATCCATTCACTCGAGTATTCACCGAAGTACTTTAGTATTAGTATTTTTCTCCACCCATAAATTCGCACGATATAAAATCCTAGCTTAGTATGGCCGGTAATTTGTTTCTCTTGTGTCCTCGTAACTCTCCCTCTCTCCCTTTCTCTCTCATTCTCACTCTTCGTTATGTACGATTGATTTTACATTAATCCGCAATTAGTAAATAGATAACCGCAAGCTTACGTCTAAATTCAATTTTTTTTCATGAGTTAGTGGTGTGTTGTGTTATGTATGCGTGACGCACACACAGTCTCGACTATCCAGCGACAACATTTTTCCCCCTTCTTATCACTCTCGCTCCTCCTCTTTCACGCGCGCACACACACACACACTCGCTCTCTTTCTTTCTCAGTCACTCTCTCGCGTATTGCAAAGCCCGATTTATTTCCGCGAAACGTAACGAACGAACGAACGAACTTCCTCTCTACGAATTCGAAGCATAGAAGGTGTGTCGTTCTCATTCAACGAGATTACACTTACTTTTTCCTTTCTCCTTTATTTTCTATCTGCAAGCTTCTTAATGGAATGCTTTAGTACAAATACGGGATATCGAATCTAATCGCCTATTAAACCAGGCTTACGCCCGACTATTCCCCCTTCCCTTTTAGCTACATTCAAAACTAACCATTCCCTTTGCCTTCCTGTCCACTTCTCCACGTGGGGGAACAAACGTAACGATAATACGCGAACAAACGAACGGATAACCGAGTCAACGAATTCACGCCTGATAAAGACCACTTGGACATTCTCGGCAAAAAGAATCGTCCGTTTTCGATTCGCATACACCCTCTGGATGATACGCACGTAGCTGTCTTCTCTATGTAGGAACGAGTCGCCGTGTGCGATACAATGTACAGGTAATACCTAAAGCGAGAGCTATCGGGGACCATCGAGGGGAGGATTTTTGATTCGAGCGAACACTCTCTCGCCTACGTCTATCTAATCGGAAAAACTTTTATCGTCTGCCGGTAAGATTCTTCGATCGAGAGATCGCTAGAATGGTAAACTTTCACGTGCTACATCTTTACTTGCCGTTTGCAACTGGTGCAAAAAACTGAAAACCATCGTTACTTTTTCGTTCCAAGATCTTCTTCGACTGGCTATATTCAGCGTTTCCAACGTTTCTTTACTATCGACAGATCTACGTATCGTTTCAGTACGATTTGGCGAACGTGCGCGCTTCGTTTAGAAACATCTAACAAAAATATAAACGCTAGACGATATCTACGATTCTAATTACGACGGTTTAACATTCTACAGTTTTCAACAGGTTCTTTCCATTTTTTTCCGGTTTTTCTCTCTTCTTTTTCACGCTGCAGAAGTGTCTTTCGTTCGGTTCGTCGAGAATTCTTACGTTCGGCAGGATTCGACATTTAGTTAACGCCTATAACGAGCCTTTGTGGTTAAAAACGGTGCTAATCGCGTTTACAATGCGTTCATCGTTCCACTAAGAAGCTGGGACAATTTTCGAGAGATATGTCTGTGTGTGTTTGAGAAAAACGTGTACGATAATTATACTTTTTATTTACTTTTTTTTTCTTTGTTATCGCTTAATCTTTATTATTCTACGGTTAGAAACGCCTAGATCTCCGTCTTTCCTCATTCTCTCTCTTTCTCTCTCACACACTCTCCCTCCCTCCCTCCCTCTCTCTCTCTCTCTCTCTCTCTCTCTCGTGTTTTGCCTCGTTTATTTTCGCGTAAGTAGCAGACAAGAAGCCTTACGCGTCGCACGCTCCGCTCCTAAGTGAAACCTACTTATACGTGTATTTACGCATATACATATGCATTTGTTTATTTATTTATCTATTTGTTCACTCGTTTATTTATATATTTATATTCGTATTTATATTTATATATTAGTCTTTTGAAATGTTTTTCTCGTGCGTGCAAAAAATAAATCTCTCAACGCGATCGTTGCGCGGCGAGTGAATTTTCTTTCCTTTTCTCGTTTCTCCTTGTTAGTTTTCCCTTTCGCTCACACTCTCTCTCTCTCTCTCTCTCTCTCTCTCTCGTTTTTTCCACTACGTGTTTTGCAAAAGTTATAGAAACGCTTTCAGCGACCCCCTCAGATTTCCCTTTTCACGTTCGGATAAATAGGAATTAGGAGTTATCTGTACAAGTAACGTCGAGTTGCCGAGAAGACGATCAAGGATTCAGAAACTCGAGACTCGAAGGCATCAGCGTGCGAAACGAGACGCGAGTGTGCAAAATTTTCCAGGGACAAAACCGGAGAACGCTGACGAGCGTTTGAAATCTTCCTTTCTCACTTGTTCTTACTAAATTTTCCAAGCTTTAAATAAACTACAAAGTTTCATCTTTATTGCAAGGGCGATGTAAAAATAGCGTTGTTGTAAATTTTATTAGTCGAAGAAGAATCTCTCACTCTCTCGCATTCTCTCTCTCTCTCTCTTTCTCGCAGAATAATCCATTTTCGCTTGCTGAATCAGGAAGTTAGTTACATTTCACGAAATTTCTTCACGAATACTTCTTTTTAGTGGAACATTAGTTGCATTGCTTTGTGTATCGACTGTTCGGGTAAGGCGGCTTGTAATTTTCGCGTATAAGTAAGGCGTACACCGTCCGGTTCTTTTTCTTGCCTGCGATGAAACATCGATTACTCGAGGTAAACGAGAAAAACGGAACAGAGAGAAAAAAGAGTTTGTTTTTGCGTTATTTATAAAAATAAAGGTTCGGGCTGGAAATTGGAGTGAAAGTTTGAACGGGGGTAATAATGGACAGAGTAGCTGGAACACTTAACACGTATGCAACAAAGTCGTCTAAAGAGTCGCGTAACGATGCAATTAATCAATCAGTCTACGATAAACACAACCGTCTCAACGAAGAGAGGAAACAAATCTAAACGTTGGAAAATCCGGAGAGGTTAATTTACGTAATAGGTGATTCGAAAGGAAATTCAAGGCGAAGGTAAAAGAGTCGAAAAGATGCGAATTCAACGTCTCCGGTTTTTCCTCGGTGCGATACACTACTAAAAAAACGAAATCGCTAGTTGGCGATGTACACAACAAGATATACGTACCGAGATAAACCACTCTTAGAGCCGCACGATCCGATGTTATTCCGGTAGGTATAATGTCACTATTGCACTTCACTTTCAAGCAGAAAAAAATAACGTTGCCACGATAGAACGAAAGTCGACCGCGATCACTGTGCAACGAAACGTCAAGTGAGGACGATTCGCGTTGCGGCACAAATTTCCTCCACCGTTTTCCTCACCCTCTTCTCCCTCGTTCTTTTCTCCGTTCGCCTTTTACGTTCGCGGAATTGATATTTCAACAGCTCCGTTTTTCACGCTAGCCTTTGGTTGTCCAACTCGAGGAGTTTATTCCGCGTCCCCGGTGGAAGCATCGTGTCTCAGGATCGGTGCTCGCGGCGAGCTTCTCTCACCAGAATCTCTGAGCGCTGTCCCATAAGTTCTTCAGGTTCGATCGAAACTCAAAACGGAAGTTCCGGTAGTATCACGCTATGTTGTTGCCGCTCATCGTGGTCACGCATTTCTTCTCCGGTGTATTCTGGCTCTCCGAGTTGCTGCGCACCGCCTTGGTCGGACTTCCGGGCGTCGGCGTCGCGTCCCCCGGCAAAGGATTATTGTTGTTCGTCGAGGTGGAACTTCTGCGACCGTTCTCACGTGTCGGCGATTTCACGTCGAACACGGACGTGTCCGATTCGATGTCCGAGTCGATCTGCAACCAACGCGGCAACCAAAACTGAACATCGCGACACACGCACAACCCTCCGTTTCTTTTTTTTTCTTTCGGATTGTTGCTACTGCTGCGAGAATGAACTACTTCTAACGAGAGGGGGAGATTGTTTATGAATGAAATATCGTTTCGTTTCGTTTCTGCGTACTCTAAGAAGAAGATAGCTGATGCTACCTTTCATTGCGTAATTCTATGCGTGCCGTAGAACTATGGAGCTACGAAGGTCATGAACTGTGTGAGCAGGAATCGCCTAGCGAATGAAATCTTTTCCGTTCACCTCTTGTCACTGGTTTCCACGAGGAAGAAACTTTGGAATGGAATAAGAGAATTATCGCGACAACGATGAGTCTAGGAGGAGGAAGATGATGCGCTACCTTGTTGAAACAGACTACCTGTCTGGTAGCTGGATGCGGGCTGAGAAACAATCGCTCGCTGGTGTCGCTTCCGCAGCTCGAACTTTCGCTCATCTCCTGGGTGAACTTCCTCGAGGCCCGCGGACTCGGCGGCGCCGCTCTGCTCTGACCTCCCAAGTTTATTCCTACGTTCCTCGAGCAGACCTGCGACTGAATGTGCTCGCAGACTCTTCGAAATCTCCGGATGTTTCCTGTAAGAAAGCGAAAGTCTAATCAACTTTTTAATTCTCTGCTCTCGAATACTGAGTTCAGTCGTGGAACACATGGCCAGGGGGACTTTTGCGAAACCAAGCTTCCTTCGAGCTTCGAGCGAAAGAGCGAAAGAAGGTAGGCAGGAGAGAGACTAGAGGTGTAAATGAAGGAGCGTTCGGACGAGCGACAGAGCATGAAAGCAAAACACGAGGGCACTCCAAGTTGGAATTATACGCGCGCACACATGCGGACAAGACGTAACGGTACCACTTGCCAAGGTAACATCGATCTAGTTGCGCTTGGACGGCTGCCAAATGCCAAACGCCACCACCTTACGATCTACCCTTGTCCGCCTCTCGTTTCGCAAATTCAAGTCGTGAAACCACGTCGTGCGAAACCCGCGATTTCTGTTTGTCTTTTAGGAACAGATCAGAATAGCAGTCGGAACTCTCGGAACCAAGTAACTTTGCTTACCGCTTAGCAGGGTAAAAGTAATGGCGAACAACGGTTCGCTCTGTTGTTTCGAAATTGCGCTAATGTCCACTTGAAAACGGACTTGTCTTTGGAACATGGCCGGTGCCGTGCTCCCTCGTTTGTATTCCACTTTGAAGGACATGGGCGAGCTTACGCTGTGGGACAACTCCGCTATCTGTCGATCGAAAAGTCTCGGCTTTTTCACAGGAACGGTGCAAGTGGTGGAGTGCGTTGCTGGTTCGTTGGTAACTTACCGATAGAAAAGCGTGGATCAGGTCGGCTTTCACGCTGGCCAATGCCTTTCCTTTCACCAGAATCGTGAACGTTTCGTCTTTTTCCGTGGTCATCAGACTACCGAACCACGATTTTTTCGTAAGCTCCGGAGAGGAATCCGGCGTCAGATGCACCTACGTTGTACGTGTTAATATCGGTTAATGTCAAGGTTCCTTTCCAACAGAAAAATACACGCGTACGTACCTCTTCGGTACTTGTGAGCAATTTGCGTCGATGAAACCGGGGACTGCCTAGGAAGGAGTTCTTGATGGTGGTCAACCTGGATCTCCAGTGATGGGCACCAGAGCCGGCTCCAGTGTGGGGCGATCCTGGCGGTGTAACACCGACCGCAACTACTGCCAAACATTTTGATCAAGTGGACCGCAAGATAGAACGCGGCTGTTTCGATGGCCGTGTCACGGCCGCGCGCCAGAGACGATTCGCGTGTACAAAGTGTGTGCTCGTTATACGCCGCGAGCACAGAGGTCACTTGCATTTTTTACAAACCGTCCTAGCTGCCAGTCCTTTCCGGCGGAAAGAGAATGCGTACTCAGACGTCTACGGAGCTTTTGTTCGCCCCGTATAAACACTCTGGACACCCGCGCCTCCTCTTTACTCGGAGCTACGTTTCCCGATTTAACGGGAGCACACGATACAGTTTCTCGTTAAACGATCTAACGCCGTTAAAATCTCGACGTAGTTTACGAAGGCAGAAAATTGAATAGGAAGTTTGCGTTCTAGCTCACCCTGCTGCACGTCGTTTATCTCTATTCCCACGTTGGGTAGGGCTGGTGCAGGAGCCGCGACGGCCGGGCTGATCGTGTTTCCATTGCCCGCGTTCATCGTCACCGTTGATATTCTGTGAGGGCTTCCCGCCTGTCCTAGGTGGGAGCTCGGAGGAGCTCTGTGAGGACTGAGCAATCCTGCGACGGCGTTCGAGCCGTGCAAGGGAGAGCTACCCTGCGTCGAGGAGGAGTGCGAATGCGAGCCGTGCGTGTGGCATCCGGTGCTGGGCGAACGACGCGCGTGATGCCTCGTGCTGTAACATTTTCGTTTCAAGTGAATTTGTCGCATGACATTCAAGACGGAGTTTTAATCGGGTGGAAGTTAATCGGACACGCACGCGACGCTTCGAGAGAGCGTCACGCGATTCTGCTCGACTTGGGCGACGACCGTGCCGTGACAACGATTGACCGTGCCGTTTAAGCGGTTCACGTGTAGGGCAGTTGGTCTGATTCGAGTTAGCTCTTTTCGTATTTACCTCGACTGTCGTCTGGGTGTTAGAGGAGAACCGTGGCTAATTTCTCCGAGATTGAGGGCCGTGCTGCCGTTCACTCGACACGTGTCCACCCGTTTTCTAGGTGGATCCGCCTCCAGTTGTCCCGCGGATCCTCTCATGCCTCCTCTCATTACCTCGAGCTCGTCCTCGCACGCCGGTCTTCTTCGTTTCCTCTCGAGCAGCAGGAAATATATCACCTTCTCCGTATTGTGGCTGCACCAAACCGTGGAACAAACCGTGGTGTGTGAGCGGAAAACTGAAAATCTCCAACGGATGTACGGGGATAGCCTACGAGGCGATCAACTACCGCGCGATAATCCTCCAAAGTGTTTGCAACGGGGGTAGCTTTTATTCCGAGTTTAGTACGAGTGTGGAGAACAGATCGAATTATCCTTACTTCGGGCTGAGAAGTTCTTGAATCAGCTTGTCCCGTTCCTTGAAGCAGCCTAGGCTCGCGATCGCCTGCAACACGTCCGGATCGATCGCATCCACGGACGGAATAACGTGCGTCTGTACCACGTCCATCATCGACAGCTCCAGTTCTAGCTCGCCCTTGCCCGCTGCCGTCACCCACGCGTGCCTGTTTATTTCCGCCAGCTGAGGAAATTCGAAATTACGCCGTGTATCTGCCTTCCGACGTAATCCTCCCTTACCGTCAGCCTCTTATCGGGATCGACTTCGATCATCCCCTCGAGTAGATTCTGACATTCGGGTGGCACGAAGTGCGGTATGTAAAACACGCCGCGCTTCACCTTCTCCAGCAACTTTCTCAAATTGTCGTCGTCGAAGGGCAACGCGCCTACCAGAAGCGCGTAAAGTATCACCCCGCACGACCAAACGTCCGCCTTCCTCCCGTCGTATTTCTCACCCTGGAAACGTGCAATTATTCCCCTCTTAATTAAACCTGCGAGCCAGCCAACCTAACGGCAAAATAATAATTCGTCTCGATGGCTTTCGTCGTCAGGCGAAAGGGAAGAAGAAACACGTTTACTTCTTCTCCTCCCTTCCTCCCGCCGTGGGTAAGGTGAAAGCAATTAAGAGAATTCTAGAGTGTTTATAGGAACAACTGGCTTTTTCCAGTCTAAATTGTGAACAGAGCTAAAGGTGGACGGCTTACTCGAATAACTTCGGGGCAGGCGTAATGAGGGGAGCCGCAGCTAGTTTCCAGCATGGAGCCCGCTGGCTGCAACGACGCCATCCCGAAATCCGCGATCTTGATGTTATTCTTCTCGTCCAACAACAAATTTTCAGGCTTCAAGTCTCTGTGACTGGAAAAGGGAGAAGAGAAACACGGTCGAATCGTATCTATCTCTTTTATATTTAAATGCGACATCGCGAATGCGTTCTACTTTATATTCGACTATTTTCCGAACCGAGACGTCGTTTCGAGAGGTATGATATACTCACCATATACTATGACTATGACAAAAATCTAACGCAGAAATGATTTGTCGAAAAAATCTTCTCGCTTCCTTCGGCGTTAGTCTACCTTTTTTCACTAAATAGTCGAAAAGCTCGCCGCCGGAAACGTGTTCCAGAACAAGATATCTGAAAGGAACAAGTGCAATTTCAGTGGTGGTGGTGGTGGTACATTCGGATTTTTCCGAGCGTGCATTTTCCCCTCGCTCTCGCTCTCGCTCTCTCCTCGCTACCGTGAGTTGAGTAATGGGTCCCGTGAGTAAAGCACTTTTGTCTAGCGTGTAGATTTCGCTGCTTTTCCCCCCCAGTAGTCTTTTCTTCTCTCTTTTTTCGCCCGACTCACCGAATACCCTTTTTTCGAACGGTCGAATTAAAGTTCAACGACTTCTCGAGCTTGATGAAACTCGCGAGTTTTCCACGAGTCGTTCAAACCGGAAAAATTCACGGGAAATTCTCTCTCTCTCTCTCTCTCTCTCTGCAGAATACTCACAGATATTTTTTGTTCTCGTATACATCGGAAAGACCTAGCACGTGAGGATGGTCGATCAGTTTCATAATCGCGATCTCCCGTTCCACCTTCATCAGCACAGTCTCCGACAGCTTCTCCCTGTTGATGATCTTGATCGCCACCTTCTTGGCCAACACGCAGTGGACCCCAAGCTTGACCAATCCTGCAACAGACGTTCTTCAAATTACCTTTTCGCTTGATCGTCGCGTAACTCGTTCTTACAGCCTAACTCCGACTAATTTCAATTCTCTCTCTCTCTCTCTCTTTCTTCCTTCATTCCGTTTTTCAATCTCAAGTTTCACGGTAGCAAAGGGAGTCGCTGGTTGTATTCGGCTTGGATCACCGCGATCGAGCTTCTTTGTCCATTTCGCCTTTGATTGTTCCTTCTTTCTCTACGAATCTTGGAGTAGGACCAGACTTTGTTCTGTTAACTCGATCTACTTTCTTCCTCCCTCCTAATCACAGCTTCCTATCCATACCTACGCTACACACTGCGTCGCGAAAGCAAAGCCAATTCAGAGTGACGGTATTGTGCTTTAAATGCCTCTTCTCCGATATCTGAATGCGACGAAGAAAGTTGCCGAAGCGGGCGTTTTTCAGCTGTAGGAGAGGTCCTCTTCGAGGTCTGAGTCACTCTGCTACCTCGACAGGCAAACGCAGAGGTTTTATGCTTATTGTCAATTTTACTCTGTCAATTTTATTCGATAATTCCCTTCTTCTTTCCATTATATGTATATAGGTAAATTAAAGACTCGAGTTAAATTGGACGGCAGGAACGAATAGCCCGAAGGAAGCCGAAAAACTTGATCGATTCGCGATGTATTTGGACTAGATTGCGAAATATTCCTGGTCCATATTGTAGGACTAGGTCACGCTGGTGCCACGTCGCAAGCGTTGCGATCGTAGACCAATTTTCCTTTCACAGTCTCCGACATTTCCAACCTTTTACCCTCGCTATCTTCGTTAGGCTGCTTTGTCCAATTATTTCAGCATCATAAGTAGTCAGGAGCGAGTGGAGAGGGAGTTTCGGTGGAAATCGAGTGCGGAGTAAGGGACAGGCAGTTTCGCTGTTTCGAGTCTCGTGGCAGGAAGGAGAGGTTCGTTGGCGAAAACTGGTATTTATCAAACAGACAGCGTGCTCTCGTTTTTTGCTTTTCGTTCGGTCCGGCCTCGCGATCCACCGGTCGAAAGTGTTTCGATCGCGATTAAGGGAAAAGTTGGAGCGAAGAGGAACAACCCTGGTTGATTCGTTGAATTATTTGCGATTCGATCGTGCACCCCGTCGTTTCGTGCTATCGGAAAGCAAAAGTGAGCTATTTGTAACGATAAAGAGACGGGGAAAATATGACGGAACCGATAGGACTGGCTAAATTGGCTTAAAACCGTCTCCGAAGACCACAGCGACGCGATGTCTTTATTCATTTAAAACCAGCCGCCCCGCAGACTCTTCCTCCCCGTCCTCCTCCTCTTTTGTTCTCTAAGCGAAAAATAGGAGGAAAAAAGATGATAAAAGAATCGGAGCTCGTTGTGTCGGCGGTGGCGCAGAAGAATCGTGCGCCCTTCCTCGATTAATTAATCGAATGCCTTTTCCGCGAGTCCGCCTTTACGATTTTCCTGCCGATTACAATTCTTCTTCCAATTTATTGAGCATTTCATAACGCTCCAGACGATTTTCCTTTGTCTCTTGTTAAACACGCGGCCTACCTTCCGGTAACTACGACCGCATTCGATGTTAATAAATTGCAACTTTGCGTCCAACGACGCAAATATCTACCAGAAAAATGACCGTTTATCGTTCGCTCTTAGAAGAAAATAAGAAAGCAACGAGATCGACAACGACGAGAGGGGAAAATCGCGACGCATTACGAAAAGCCCGTTTAAACGACGGGAAATTTCGGTGTCGGTCGATCCGATGAAAATTCCGCGAGGGGTGCCGACTCGCCGCACTTCCCAACAAATCGACGAGAATTGCATTAACGCCAGTATAGGGCGTTAAAGTGCACTTTCCCTTAACGACTTGCATCACGCACGATTTACCGACATCGACGCTGGACATCCCTCTTCCTCCCCACGTGCAAGTCAATCTCTTCTGAATTTACATCTCAACAGAGTGTCCGAACAGAGCGACCCTCTCGGTGTACAGGGTTGCTCCATTTACCATCAGCTTCGGACGTTGTCGGGTCGATGGAATATTTCACGTATCGTCTAATAATCGCACTGCCCTTTTAAACATAGCACTCGCGTGGGCACACGCTGAGCGCGCGTGCAAGATAGGCGCAGAGTCGTTCGTTTTATGATATAGATTCAGAGAAGCCCCGTTCGTGTCCGATACCGAGCCTACATTTGTCAAGGTGCTCCTCGAAACTATATAATTGGAGGAATCTGTGTCAAAACGATCAATCTTCCACGCTCGTTATCAACGAGGAATTCGAGCGGAGAAAAAAAAGTAAGAGAAAGATATTCGTAAAAATATTCGTAGAGATGTCGTAGGAGGAAGATACGTTTCTAGAGGCAAAATAGGAGATCTGTTGGTTCCGGAGTGGCGTTTCGCTCGGTCGGTGACCCAGGACAACATGCAAATGTATTTACGGAAATCCCTTTTTCGTATTCGACGTAACCGCCCTCGCCAACCAAATCGAATTATACATATCTCGATATTTCACGGATTGCGCGCTTCGTCGAACTCCCTTGAGTTCGTTCACGACCAAACGTCCTGTGCGTCTGTCAGAGGCTTTATCGGCCAATTATTACCAATCTGGTCCAGACGTGCCTATTATATTTCCGTCGTTACATTTCTATCTTTGGACTCGAGTATCAAAAGGGTGGCTTGTAAATCGTTGCGCAAAAGAAATCTGCTAAATCCTTGAAGGATTTTTGGCAACCGAACCAAACTAGGTTGAATTGTCGTCTCCGTGTGGGGAACAGTTGGCTCGCTGGTAAAATTCGTAACGTCGTACAGTATGGTAAATCACAGAAAGTTCTCGCTCACTTTTCGCGTTACCCTGCAACTTTCCGCACCGTAATTCGCTTTACGTACGACGTGTACTCCGGAACTTGGGAAAGCAGTGTCGTTGACGAAAATTTGAACGACGCGACGGTGAAGTTTTGGATAATACGCGGGTACACGCGCGTTTCTTCCCCGCGCGCGAGGCCGTAAGCGCGAAACGTGACCTGCAGTTGGACGCGAGGCTTCCGACGTAACTTTTACACGGTAATTGCCAACTCGCTCGCTCTCGCGTGTACGTCGACCTCCCACGAATACCGTTAACAGTGGAAACTGCGTCCTCTCGGAAAACTTCCGACCAGCAATCCCGCGTTTAAACGGATCAGTCGATTATTCATTGCCGGAATCCCCGGAGAGATTCGAATACATCTCCGTCTGGAGTGTCCAAGTTAATCTGGGAACGGGGCGAATGCTTGTTTACGCGGGGAGTTGTCTTCAATCGCGAAACATCGAATCTCATCGATGAAAGGTGAGGATGGTTGTTTTATCGGCGAAATCGCGATAGGATCGCGGCAGGAGGGAATTCATTTTGCCGCATAACGTTCGATCGCATCGATTTGTCGCGTCACGCCCTGCGAGCTGAAACTCTTTCATCTCGGAGCGCGTGGCGTCCGGAATCGAAGGTGGCTTACGCTTCGTTCGCGAGACGTCTTCATCGATTTGGCTCGTGGCTGGTCGCGGCCGCGGCGTGCACGCGTACTTGCATATAACCTACTGCCAGTTTCGTTATCTCCGTCTCTTACCAGCCGGTAAAAATTCTGTCGAACTGATCGTCTCAAGTCTATCGTAAATAGAAGTTGAATAGCCGAATATACGGTGTCGCGTGGCTCGTTTAATCGGTCAACCTCGTCGGCGATTGTCTCGCCGCGCTTTGTCCGCTCTGGCCGAGTTGAGAGGAACGAAGGGGGATGATGAAAAGCGCATTCTTCGGTTTTCTTCGCGTTCCGTGGCCGCTTTGGTGGTAACGCGACACGTTCACACCCTTCTCTTTTCTTATAAATAAAATTCCACGTTCGCGTATGCAGCAGCGCCGTCCGTTATGCTTTCCAATCGAGTCACGGTGCAGCGCTCGGGGGTTCGCCAACCGGAGATCTCCTCGGCACACGTTCGCGATCGAACGATACGTAACGAGCTTCCGTGAAAATTCTTTTCTTTTCGAGGTGAGGTGTGATAACGTAGGAAGGAGAGAGTAAACTACAATAGCAGTTAGTTAAAATAGCAAGCGAAACTACTTAATTAGGATCGAAGGTACTGGTGTGCGCGGTCAACTGGTGAACAAAGAAGGTAAGGTACAGACCTCCTGTACAGATAGGGGGAGAATCTTGTTGCACTCACCGGTCTGCCCTTTTCCCAAGGTCTTTTCCAGTCGATAAGGGCCAACATACTGATGGGTCTCCTGGGTGTTGGACCCGACGGGTCTCTCCTTGCCCTGCATCGCCGGGCCACCTTCCTCCTGGTCCGCCAGGTTGGCTAGATTATCCTAGAAAAACAGGCTATCCGGCAACGAACCTCTGGCTCCTCTTCGCTTCTTCCTTCCGCCACCCACCCAGCCAGCCAGCCAGCCAGCCAGCCAGCCAGCCTCTTCTGCTCCTTTTCTGCGCCTCTCCCCACCGTTCTTTCTCTTCCCTTTTCCCTCCTCCACGAGCAACCTTTTTCCTCTTTGCTCTCTCAAGCTTTTACGATTCTGTCCGACAAATCCACGATCACTGGACGTTCCGCCGCGTTCGCGGCTGTCCGCGGCATGGCGATGAACGGCGTCGCGACCGCGACCGCGACCGCGACCGCGTGCACCAGGACGACGACGCGTCAACCAACGAATCGAGGAATCACCTGGAAACTTGCGTACCACTTGCCCCTCGCACATGTACGCACTGTCACTCGCGCGCCCGGCCCTTGATCTTCTGCGGCTGCCTCTTGCGGATCCTTTTCATGGTGGCCGGCCGATTCTTGTTCACCGAACAACGAGGACGAGAGTAACGAGGAGGGAGCACGTTCGCTTGGGAACGAGTCCGTGATTGCGAGCCGATCGTGACACGGACTCTAGTAGCATGGGGTAGGCTCACGTGAACCTCGCGGTCGCTCGGCCACCGGCTGCTCCGTCGCAAATCGAGCTACTCCTCCACGACGAAGCCGCGTTCGGCGCCATTGCGACTCCACCTCGACTGCTTCCGATACTTTCACCACGTTCCGAAGATACACTGCCAGTCTCTGCACACCCTCTCTCCTGCTCGCTCGCCACCCTTTCGACCGACACTTGCAACGCGACGCGTCCTCGCCAGTTTTCTCCACCTTCCTTTTCACCACCTTTATTTTACCCCTCTTCGAGAGGGACGTGTTAACGCGTTCGTTCCGAGTTTCCACGACCTCTACCACTAGTAGTGAACCACGGGAGAGAAAAGCACGAAGCTCGCCGACTGGCCCCTTCGCTCCGCCAGTACCTCCACCCTACGCGCACTCATGCACCACCGCCGATATGTCACTATAATATATCCGGCAGTAACTAGACCGACGTTCCTTCCTCTGCGTAGCCGGACTCTTTCCAGACAATTCCACGGTTTCGATCGAGCCTTCCCTTCCTTTCCCTCCTGATTCGTTTACGTTCGCCCCGTTTATCAAAGTCGTTTGCTTTCCTAGTTTCGTCAAGGATTCGGCCCTGTCGTTCGCGGATGACGGAGCTAACGACGAACCGCGGCGCTCCCAGTTCGATTACGCGTTACAGGGGACCGACAGAGGGGGTAGGTTGCGCGCGCAACTCCGCACCCGCCACCACCCCTGCGGTCGCCCTTTCCTTCCCCTCGCGGCAAACCGTGGTGCGTAGCGAAAGCTTCGAGTCTCAAATTTTTCTCTTCCCTCTCGTCGACGACGACCAACCAAATTTCTCAAATCTGTCCTACCTTACGACGATCCAGACCTTCCTGCCCTACGGTCAGCCCTGATACGACGAAAGCAAACCGCACGGATTGCGATAACACGATAACACTTAGTGTACTCTCGATTCGGAGCGAGCGATTAGACGATCGACTCCATCGCTGAGAGTAAGGGGAGACTTTGGTTCCCTCGGTTTGGCGTGCATGCGTGCGTGGTAGGGGATGACTCGGTGTGTTCTCGTCGGTAGCAGGATAGTTACTCGTGGTTCGTGTCTAGGGTGAAAAAGGAGCGAGATTTCCGATCGATTTCTGATCTTTTGTCTCGCTATCGTTTCTTCCACGTTCCCGTACTCGTTGATACGCGCGATGTGCAGATGAGAGTGTGGTGTAGGTTGCTCGAGCAAACGAAATTTGGTTGCAGCGCGTGGAGAAGGGTCGAAAGGTTCGGTAAACGGTAATTTTCACGCGTAAATGCGGCCCTTTTTGCTCCCCTTGCTTAAAAGAGAGCGAGAAGACCCTGAAACCGGAGGATCGACCGTGTCGAGCGATTTCTTCGTAGATGTCGCGCATCCTTTCACCCGCGTCTAGTCAGCGGGAAATTCTTCGACGTCGCTCCTGGTGTATTACATTCCTCTCGGATTACTCCGAGCCGTAGTCACATTCCACCGTGTCCAGAGTTTATTTGCAACGATAAGCGTTCGTCTCCGGACTGATTTTCATTGGTTCGCGCCAAGTAGGAAGATTAAATTGGAATCGAAGTCGAATTTCGAGGTGTAGAAAGGTTTCGCAGAAAGGAAACGTCGCGTTGTAGGGCAATGTCGGCTATTACGATCAAAGTAAACTCCAAAGTTACCTACATCGACGCGATGAATAATTCACGATGGAATCAGACAAGTTAAGTCAGACCGTTTTGGCCGGTCGGTTGCTGGTTAATCATTTAACGGATTAATTATTAAGGAGAGCGAGTATCGTCATCCCGAGCCCTTGCCTGCTTAAATATTCAGACGATGCGGTGCGTGTCTCTGTCTGCGTTCTATTCCTCATCGAGCAAATTTCACCTTTTTCATCTCGTCCTACCAAAGGACTCTCCGCGTGAAACGATCGGAACGACGAGGATTCTTTGGAAAGAAGAAGAGGCTCGGGGCAGAATTCTCTTTGCGGAAGACGAAACGTTTCCTACGATTGAAAAATGATGTTGCGACGAGTCGCGAGAATTCGCAACGTGACGGCGTTGGAGGAAATGCGAGGACGCCGTCGTAACGAGGATCTATTAAACGCGGTTAACCTCGGCGAGCAAAGAAAGAGAGGGAGGAAAGGAAAAGAAGAGAAGCATTTAACGGAGCCACTTTTCTCGACGAGACGACGTGCGTATAAATATGCAAGGAAAATTACCCTGAGCGTTATGGCGCGAGCTACGAGCGAGGACACCTCGTGTAAGGGGGGTACGAATGCAATATAGATCGAGCCTGGAGGGAGGAGGAGCGTAGGTGGTGGAGGCGGAAAGAGAGGGACGACAGTCGGATGGCACAAAGAGGAGGGTGCAGGCCGAGGATCGATAGGTATACATACAGTATAGAGGCAGATAGGAACACAGGAAGCGTCTGACACCGGAAAGCTCCTCGGGGATGGCTTCTTACGAGCTAGTTCTGACCGACTGACAACCCGTTTTCTTCTCTCTTCCCTACTTTTATCGATTCCACGCTAAATTTCCCATCCACCGACGACGTAATCGAATCGACTTTTCTTTTATGCGATCGTAAAAACCCGTTTTACGTCGCGAGGCCCGGCTGGTGTAAATCGTGTTGCAACTCAACGCCGCGTCTAGGGACAGCTGCGACCGAATAAAACCCGGTTTAGACCCGTGAAAATGGAAACACCAAAGATTGCACTCTCGATACAGTTTCCTTCCGATACGATCGTCGGAATTCGCGAGAAACAGAGTGGCTTGGATCCCCGGCGAATCGTTCGAGTCTCCTTTATCGCTTACTTGTTGGCACGCCGAGAGTGTGGGTGGCGTGGGATTTCGGGCCAACTAATAGGAGACTTCCCTTCGGGTTTCGACAGTTCAGCCGCGAACGATTAATTAGCTTTCCGCGTAGTCTCCGTCCTGTCTTCTGCAGCACGGAAATACGGAAAACTGTTCGACGCGACCGATAAATCACTTCCGAAAGTCCGAATTGCGCCAACCCTAGAAAGGGAACTTTCGACTGTTGGGAAGGCGGAAGGATAGGAAAGGTCGACGAACCCTGCAGACTGTAAGCGGTCCTAAACACGAATCTGTTGCTAGCTAGATACGGTGTCCGACTCTCGTTCGCTGTCCGCGGTATTCCCTCCGTCCTGCGCTTTCAAAAGCGCAACCTGAAACAGCCGGTACACGCGGTGTGGTAATCGTCGACTGGGAATAAATTGGCAAAGGTTAAACGACTGGGGTAAATTTTGGACGGGAGGAAAGGAGTGGAATGTTGCTCGGGTGCAGAGCCGTGGGGTGGATGCACAGAGTGCGTTTCGGTGAATTTTCTCGCGGGCGTATATTGGCGTGCAAGCAACGCAACGTGTTGCACAGAGGGGTGTTGCGAGGGAAAGGATCCGGTCCACTCGTAGCCTGCAGTTGCCTCTCTATCGAGCACGATGCAAGTTGCGCGATGGGACGAGTAAACAAAGTTCCAAGTTGGCACTTGGCCTGAGCCTATTCACCGCACCGCAGACGACGCGGCCGTTCGCATCTCTCGGCTCTCGGACCGACTGCAAACCCAATGCAGTCTGAAACTCCTCGGAAACGCCTATTAGCGAAATAGTCTCTACGCAATTTTATAACGCGATCGATAACCTCTCGTCGCACGCTATGTTCGCGCAGACTGCCAATATTTAAACCAAAGTGCCGAAGAAACGATTAGGAGGTTGCGTAACTTTTCAACCCCCGGAGACAAGGAGAGATAGGGATTTTTTGTCGTCCAGCAGATCGAGCTTCTTGGAGCGAGGACAGAAATTTCACTCGGGTGATTACCGTCCGATGTATCCTCCAACTTGCACGATCAAACGTGAAAAACTCATTTCGCGCCGGGTTTGCATTCCCTCTGTTACGCAACCCGTTCCGTCTTCTACTTGGAAAACATCGGTGAAACGTACGGATTACTCGGAGCAAATCGAAGCTATTTTTCCTTTCACCGAAAAGGAAGCCGCGTTAATTCGCCGTTGAACGAGCTTTTTCAAAAGGAGTGCCTATCGGGCACGGATGCAGCGGCGATTTTCAGAGGTTTCAGAACTTTTTTCATTTGAACGGCGCGGCGCGGCGCTATTGCGTAATAGTAGTTGCGGCTGTATTATGTATACGAGTCAGACCGTCCAAGTTCATGCGAAAGTTTTTAAGTGGGGAGATGGTAATACGTAAAGGGGAGGCGTAAAGTGTTAACACAGGCCAGAACAGCAGCAGACACTTGAAACACCCCTTTTTCCTATCCTCTCCTCCGGCTTCCTTTTCTTTCATGTCCCGTTCTCGTCGGTTTTTTGCTTGTCCGTCCATTTTCCCCCCAACTGTCCTTACTTAACATTTTTCCTAATATCTCGATCA